TTACATTTTGGGCTCAGTATCAACGTAAGGCCTAAATCTAAAGAGTTATCTCAAGTCGAAAATGTCCTTTATGTATTGTATATCTCGCAAGATACAATAAGACGTGCATTACAATTTTTATGGATGCACTTGACGACATTTGTAGTTTTTGTTTAGGAATATGATTGAACAATATCGTTTGACAAAGTTCAAATCTCAACCAGCGACACTAAATAATTCACTAAAAATATTTTTATGTTAGCAATGCCATGCTTTGTAATATCTTGATAAATAATCGGTGTAAGAAAAATTATTTTTAATAATGCAAAGCATGCTCAAAAAGAATTAAGCAAAAAAAAGTATTAAAGACTTAAAGTATTATAATAATAAAATATTAAATACTTAAGTATTAAATACTTTAAAAAATATTAAACAGAACTTAAAATTGTAACGGATAAGGCTCTTACGAATAAACAATTCAAATATCAGGAAGGAGCGTTAAAGAGCCAAAAGCATGGTGAACTTTGCTTAAGTGATTATAATTTTAACATAAATAAATTAAGAATAATCGACAAAATACAATGCAAAAAACAGTATCAAAAAAACCTCTGACGTTTCGACCCTAAATATGTGGTCATCTTCAGAGAGGTAGGCGGTAACGCATTATATAAAAAACATAACTTACATATTATTCGTATCTTATTATAAATACTATTCGCAACGGTAACAATCAAGATGGTATTAATCGGCTTGGAGGATCCTGGCTTAGTCCTTTCATTTTTATGATGTCCTCTTACAAATATGTGCGGTAATCCATGATTTTAACGTATAAGTTTGAAAAGATATTTTTAACATGGAGGTTTCTAGGAAACGAGAAATCATAGGAAAAAAATTAGATTTAAATTAGGATCCGTCAATCTTCCGAATAAAACAACACCGAATAAATAGTTACAAATTACCGACTAAAACCATGTAAAAAGAACTTAATAACAAGAACAAATATGATGAATCAAGTCAAAAAGTTAATATACCAAAACGGTAAGTTGGAAATTCTTTTTTAAAAAAAATTTTTTTATATATAAATTAAATACTAAAACTGTTTAAGTCGTACATATATAAAACCGTTATATTAAACAGAACTAATTCTCTTAGGCATTACACGAAATCTCACTGTATTTGTCTGATTATCGGATTGTCATTTCGTTGGTCTGTTTAGTTTTGTTATTTTGGCATTGTAGATTTTTGTAATGCACTTGATGTGCATTACAATTTTTGTGGATGCATTTGTAATGCACTTGACGTGACAAGACAAAGTTGCTTGCCACGAGGTAATTGGATCATTTTTAATTGCTCATCATCTCATAAGACTTTCTCAACATGAAGCTGAGGGTACGATCAACTTGGATTTAATTAATGTAGAATTGTAATATGTAATATCCCTCCCACTAACTTACTTTCTCGCATTATAATTTTTGTGGGTGCATTTGTAATGCACTTGACGTGCATTTCAATTTTTTGTTTTCTTTCTCATTCGTGTTATGCTGTGAACCCTGGTAAATTTTCTTGTTCTTACGCTTGTAAAGCTCATCGTTTAATATCAATATCGTGAATTATTGCTCCTTTTACCGTTGCTTCAATAAATTTATCTAACGTATATGTTGAAATTCGTCTCGACTTTTTTATTCTATTCTATTACTATTTATATTCAGTTGTTGCTTCATTGTCGCAATTGTCTTGCTAATGAAACTTTCCGATACCTTGATTTCACAGATTCTATTGTTTTTGGCTTTTGACTTACCACTTTTCCAATATTCAACTGGTTCTTTTTTATATTCTGTGGAAATATCATCCACATCACACATTTGTGTAAATATTTGTAATGCACATGACGTGCATTTTTGTGGTTTTATTCGTAATGTACTTGACATTCATTACAATTTTTGTAGATGCATTTGTAATGCACTTGACGGGAGAATGCAATGCCTGTGACCGAGCGGAAATCACGGGCATTATCTTCGGTGGATGAGTTGTATTAATATAGAATGATAGCTTGCACGCGGGTAACACTTGCCTAACAAGAAAGCAACTTATTGTGATCCACATGATCATGCATGAACGAAAATATTTATCCTTACGCAATTTTTGGCGAAACGGTTATCAAATAGTTGAGACAGATCAGCCAGTCAGTTAATACTTTTTTATTTATTTCGACGATTGTCTTGCGGAACGAACTTATAATTGTAGACTTTGTGAGACTTTGAAAACATATTCGACAGTGATTTTCCGCGAAGAACTTTCAATCATTTTTAATATATCCGCCATAATTGTTCGAGTGGTTGCGAATCCTGATATTTCTTCATAATATTCTTCCACAATTAAAATGTCGTCTAGCATGATAAAAACTTTCGTTATATGTACGCAGATTGTATAATCATAAAATATATTTGTCTCCATTGTTATCTATTTCACGAAAAAATGACGTTAACAACTATTGTGCGAGCAGAACGTGCTATACGAAAGATCAAGCGAGTGAACGAGTACGGATACTGTGCGAATATAGAGATTTTTAATTCTCATTATAATAATATTTTAGAAAATAACTTTATCATTATATGGTTAAATTCGTATTAAAATAATTTTAATATCTTTTAATTATAACTTTTAATTTAATTACCAAAAAAAATTGAAAATTTGAAAAAATGTTGAACGGTGGTACATAAAAAAAATAAAAATAAATTTTTTTATTACTATTGTAAAGTACACTTAAAACCATGTATATATTTCTTCTCTTATTAGTTTCAAAGATATTCACCTTGAAACAAAATAATTTAATTTTTTGTAAGTGGCGTTCCACTCCTTAAAAGTGTGTAAGAGTACATATAAAAAAATAAGTATCCCTTTTTCTGTCTAAACAACAATATGTTAAAAGCTCATGAGATTTTAACTAGGATTAGATTTTGTAAATAGTACTCACACAGTTTATTATTTTACGGATGATTAATTTCATTATTCTTGATTTTAATTAATCTCTCCTCTGCTAATGTTGCAACGCAACTTCTCTTATTGTCATTTATTTAAATTCTTATTGATTAATATTTTGTAAGTCAAAATATCAAAATTAATTTTATTAATCAAAATTAATTATATATATAGGTACTATATATATAAAACTCTAAAAAATCTATAAGAAGTTTTATATATATACTATATATATAAAACTCTAAAAAGTCTATAAAAAGTTTTATATATATACTATATATATAAAACTCTTGTATATACTGTAAAATTTGACAAAAATCAACTTTAAGCATTTAATCAGATATGAAATACTTGTATATCACAGATGGAAAGAACGATTTTTTTGAAATGTCTAAAATTTAGCTACAGCTCTGAAAAATTTTGTTGGATCATGAAAATAATTATATTAAAAACTCGAATTAATTATTAGAAAATTTCAAAATTCATCAAAATTTTTTGCAGCATTGCTCATACTTGAATTTTTAATATAATTTTGTTAATCCAACAAAATTATTTTCAAATCTGTACAGTTAAATTTTAAATATTTCAGCAAACAATCGTCCTTTCCGTGTAGCTGAGTCAAATGCAGACGACTCAAAGATCGGGCGTATTGCGTTGTAGCCTTGCGTTTTCAAAATTTCCTCAATGCGTGGCATAATCACTGTTATTCGCTCGTTGCTATGCGGAATATTTTTAAGGTAATTGTAGCTATTGCGTTACACATATCTCTTATCTGATTGTATTCTCCTTTGTCAATATTTGAGATTAAAAAATTTTATAGTAAAAAGAGAAAATTTCTATATGAGAAAAAATTGTATAGTACCGATAGTTATGAAATGTCAATTAATTTTACATAATCAATACATTTTTTAATGCCGTTTTTATCTTACCATATTTAATTGACATTGTTAATTAAATAGCATTACTTATAATTATTGAGATTAATTGCCCTAATAAAAATATAAATTTTACAAATAACAATCGATAAATTAAGGAAAATGGAATCAAATAAGAGATCGCATTAATTAAAAATATCAAAAATTATAATTTCACAAAATTCCTAAAACTTCAAATCTGAAGATTTGAGATACGAATGTGTTAGAAATTGAAATTATTGTAATTTGATGATTGTAATCTGACATTTCTTGCGAAAATTAGTCTTATGTTTTTGCTTTGTTTTTCTTTGCGACGATGAGAATTGTATGTACGAAAACGTGAACACATACGAAACTCTATATTGGTTTTAAATGTTAGATTTGCGCGATACCTATAATGTATATCTCTGAACATGTATTGCATAACTTTGTTATCTTCTGCGTGCGGCAAAGGTGCAAATACAGATACCCCATGTACGGAGCACATTTCGTAATTGCTTATGTGGGTCAGGTGAGACTGGTTCCTTTAAGATTTTATATTGTACGCCTTTGGTATTTTCGCCTCGGATGCCGCACCTTGATCAATGATTTATCTAATATCACCATTCGGAATTTCTTCTCCACTTATAAACGATATCGCTGGAGATTTAAACGTTAGTTCCCGCGAATATAAATTGCAATTCAACTTGGAAATGTTAACTTGATATTTTGCCTAATTCATATTCTACACATATATCTCTCCAGATACATTCTATTTTATACATTCCTTTTCTATATATTCTATAAAAATATTTATAATTTATATTTTATTTCTTTTTTCACAATATTTATATCAAAATGTTTTTATTTTAATTAAAAGATCTGAAAATTAATGAAAAATAATTAATAATGATAAAGTAACAAAAGTCTTAAGTTAAATAAAAGATTTTTAAAATATAATATAAGCTTGGGCAAAAAATATAAATAACATGTCAAAGTTAAATTGCAATTTACATAAAAAATATATAAATATATGTAAAGTAATATATAAATTATATATAATATATAATTATATATTACAACAGATATATGTACTCTACTCTTATAATATTTTAAATTTTAATTATCATAGCTTTAATTGTTTAGTTTTATTTAAAGTTCGAGCGTTACATTTATATCAATTATAAATACTGTATATACGTTTTATATAATAATTCTACACAATAATTAAATACAACGGAAAAATGTTAACAAGAGTTGTGCAAGAAGTAGTTTATCGCCGTATTTATAGCGGCGTGCGATGTTTCTATTTCTATAAGAATGCCAAAAGTGGTCGGCCTTGCCGGTTCTTTCTTTCGCCCAATTATAATGCAGATGAGAACGACCACCACGAAGGTTCAATTCGATTTCAGTACTCGAGCAACTTTCGCGAGATAAACACGATTCTTCCAATCACCCGCCAATATTGTAATTTTTTACTAAAGTGTCTTCGTACAATTCGTGCCTTTGGAAATATTGCAAGCGACATCACCACGTCTACATTTATGTACCGTAAACATTTCTTACTTACTAAATCAGAAGAAGGGCACGCAATAATCGCATAATCGAAAATGTAATAAGAAATATACCGAGGACTTGCGTAATGAGGGAAAGATACACTCTGCCTGTGCATATGTGGAACTGTATGAAAGACACGCATGGAAAGAATTCTGCGGACGCGTTACGACAGTTTAAGAGCTCCGTCGGAGATTGCGTTCACAGTAAGAGTCAAATGATAATTAAGTTAAATGGCCAACGATAAGTATACGTTATCGATTTGGAATCCGTTATGAGAGAGAGAGAGAGAGAGAGAGAGAGAGAGAGGGAGAGCGAGAGTTCGGTACACCCGAACTATGTACCACTCTTCAATGTACTCTCCAATGTCGATAAGCCCGGAGTACGGAATGCAGGAGAGGCGCGTTCGATGGCATCATTGTGTCAAGATTTGAAACCGCTGATTAACATTCGCTTCTCGAACAATCTTACTTCGTATGACTCGCAATCGTGTCATGATCGTAAAATAAAGAACTTTGAATGCTGACGCAGTCGACCCTGATGCTATGCAGATCTACGGATCTTCTTCAGTGCAACTTTGAGAGACACCGCAGTTGATGGTTAACAAAGCGAAGAATTACAAAGATGTGATACGCAATAGCAGAATTGAGTGTCATACGGTGCGCCACAATTTGCTGATTTCTGTTAATTAATCACAAAGATTTATACGATCGAGGATACGTAAATTGTGTTTGAGGATCGTTTGCGGTATAGATATCGTAGGTATTATATATATCGACGTTGTATGGAAAATACGGAGTCACAATACATCAAGATTCTAGAAAGATTGCATTAAATCACGATGGACACGTAATCGTAGTAAGTTGTTAAAATAAAATGCAAATAAGTTCTGCCGATTGAAAGTACGACTACCGAAAAAATCGTTAGTCACGTATGTAAATTGGCAATCGTTTCTTAATCAAAATTATTCAAGACGAATGATCATAAAGACCTACCTCAATGCGACTGTCAAGGTTCTAGCTTTCTAAAAAAAGAAACTCCACAACAAAAAGAATCGTTATGCAAGAGATTAATGGAATGTAAATGATAAAGAGAGCTATAAATGGTGTAATATATCCAAAAGAAGCTTGGCGAAGATTTATTTCTCGCACGAGATAAAGATCGGATTCACGATGCTCAAGTCCTGTCTGACGGTCTTGCTTCTGGGGCACGTCGGTGGGATTCTACCGCCGGCTATTCTCGAGACGGTGCACCACTTCCTCGCGGGATTTCCACCGCCGAACGATCTGGTGCAGGACGAGGACGCGACGCCCGGGCGACATCACCCATCTTTCGACTTTCTCGTGATCGGCGCCGGCTCGGCGGGCTCCGTGCTCGCGAATCGCCTGACCGAGAATCCCAATTGGAACGTCCTGGTGCTCGAACAGGGCAGGGACGAGATCTTCCTCACGGATATCCCCTTTCTGGCATCGATTTTCCACATCACGGACTACGCTCGTGTGTACAAGGGCAAGCCGCGGCCGCAGGACGCCCACGGTCGCGGCGGGTACTGTCTCTCGATGGTCGACGGCCGTTGCAAGGTGGTGATCGGCAGGGCGGTCGGTGGCACCTCGGTGGTGAACTTCATGATCTACTCGAGAGGCACGCCGGCCGATTACGACGGCTGGGAGGCGCTCGGGAATCCCGGTTGGAGCTACAAGGACGTGCTGCCGTATTTCATCAAGTCCGAGAGGTGCAGGCTGATCGAAAAAGACGTAAGGTGCGTGATGAAATCGTGTGTGCAATTTATTCTATTCTTTGCCGCGAATCTTTTCGATTACGTTAATTCGTGTAATTTACAATATAAATAATTTATATTGCGATATTCGTGTGATTCAGAGATATTTAAGCGGTAATATTACATTCTTCCTCCTGAATCTTGTATAATACGGTTCTTCTTTCGTTATAGGTATCACGGATACGACGGTTATCTGGATGTCACGACTCCTCCTTACGCCACTCCTCTGAGGGAACGTTTCTTGAAGGCTGGCCAAGAGCTCGGTTACGATCTGATAGATTACAACGGCGATAGGTTCATCGGTTTCTCAGCCGTACAAGCGAATCTGCGAAACGGTCACAGAGTCAGCGCCAACAAGGCTTTCCTCAGGCCAATTCGCGATAGAACCAACTTTTACCTGTCCAAGCTCTCGACAGTGACGAAAATTGTTATTAATCCGCAAACAAAGAAAGCCGTGGGCGTCCAATTCGCGAAGGGCCATAAAACGTATTTCGTTTCTGCTACGAAGGAGATTATACTTTGCGCAGGTAAATATTTAGAGTATCATTAAAAAATATAGTTACGGAACAAAGCGCAATTTCAAATTATAAAGCTAATTTACTTGATCAGCACTGAAAAATCTGATAAAGTATTTTATAAAAAAATTATTCTTTTAAAAATAAATATATACACGGAAAAAATGTATTAACGGCATATGTGATATTTATTCTATCTACTTTTACAAAATAACACCTTTCCAGTGTTTATTAACACGGTTCAAAAAATATGATATGTTCGAAAATGGAAATTTTTTTTACATTTATAAAATTGCTTTAATTCAGCCCATTATTTAGAGCAAATTTTTTAAAAATGAAGCCTTTCATTTGACATTTCCGAATTTTACAGGTACTTTAAGTTCACCGCAGTTATTGATGCTCTCCGGAATCGGTCCAAGGGATCATTTGAATACATTGGGCATCGATGTGATTGAGGACCTTCCGGTGGGATTTAATTTACAAGATCACGTGAGCATGTCGGCTTTAACGTTCCTAGTCAACGAGAGCGTGACCATTGTCGAGCCACGTTTGGGTTCGAATCCAGCTAATTTCATGAAGTACCTGACAGAAGGAACTGGTCCTTTAACGATACCCGGCGGCGCCGAAGCGTTAGCTCTTGTTAACACCAAGGCTAATAATTATATGAAAAAAACGCAGAAGGAAAAGTCAAAGTTTAAATTCAACCAGCGTGTAAATACGCACAAGAACAAGTATGGTAAGTATTTTACCATCACACAAGTCGACATTTTTTAAGCAAATAAATTCAAGAAGATCAATTCCTTTTTTTCTGTAAAGAACCAAGAAATTTATTTTTTTTCATATAAATTACTTAGCTTTTTATACTAAATTTAAAAGTTTATAATAATAAGATACTCGAATCATATATATTTATATATATTCAAACAAATGCTTGACTTTTTGCCATTAATTTTTCAAGCTCAGTTAGCTCAGATGAAAATTACATTATAATCTTCTTGCAGCTGTTCCCAACATAACGTCTATCACCGTAAGTCGAAACGTTTTCAACACGTATTTTCCCGTTAACGTGAGCAAGCTGTCGGAGGACGAATATCCCGACGTCGAGTTGGTGTTAGGCGCAAGCTCGTTAGCCGGCGATATTTCCGGCAGCTATCGCGGTCTACTAGGATTAACGGAAGAATTTGACAAGGAGGTTTACGGCGATTACAAGGGCCTCGACAGCTTCATGATCGTACCTGTGCTTCTGCAACCCAAGAGTCGCGGTAGACTCACCTTAAGAAGCAACGATCCGTGGGACCCGCCGATCGTGGACACCAATTATTACGGTCACGCGGATGATCTGAATACAATGGTGCAAGCTATAAAGATCGTACGTAAGAAAAGAGCCTCTTTACACATTAATATATTTTACATTTATCTTACGATTTTTCTTTGTCTTTTATATATTATATTGCATTATAGAATTCTCTTATTATCTCATACATTCAGAATTATTTTTAAAGTAGCTCTTTCATCACTCTTTTGTCATTCTCTACATTTATCGTGCCATTTTTTTTATCTACTTTACTTTTTGCATTACAGTACTCTCTCATTATCTCATTTAGAATTATATAATTAAAGCATTTTTTATTTTTTTTATCATTTTCTATTCTCTATTTACTTTAAGATTTTTCTTTATCTACCTTATATCGCATTACAATATCTTCTTTCATTATCCTCACACATTTACAATTATATTCTGTATTTAAAGCATCTTTCATTCTTTTGTCGTTCTTCAATTTGTTAATACGTTCTTTTTCGCATGGTTTGTCGCAGGCGATCGAAGTAGCTTCCACGAAGGCGTTCAAGCGTTTCAACACCACGCTACTACCGGTACCGTTTCCGGGATGCAAGCACGTCGCTTTTAAGAGCGACGCATACTGGGCCTGTATCGCCCGTCACGTGTCGACGACTCTGGGTCACTACGCGGGCACGTGCAGGATGAGCAGCCGGAAAAATTCGGGGGTGGTGAATCATAGGCTGCGGGTGCACGGGATCGACGGGCTCAGGGTCGTGGACGTCAGCGTGATGCCGACCATAATCGCCGGTCACACGAACGCGCCAGCGTACATGATCGCCGAGAAGGCCAGCGACATGATCAAGGAGGACTGGAAAGGCTCCGCTTCGTGAAACGTGTGGGAAGTGGGAGGAAGTACAAATGCTACGACGTGTGAATCGTGGGACGTGTGATCGTGACGAGGAAGGAATCCCTTTTGGATTCTCTTCTTTTGCAGGGGCAATAGAAAGAACATTGGTGGCTGTGCGCCATAAATTCTTGAAACTTTAAAGAGACAAGATTAAAGAGAAAAATATGTCTACAGAGCATGAAATATATCTTGTTTGTTATTTTCAAAATATTTTTAATTAACTGATTTTAAATTAAATTAAATTTGAAAAATATTTCGTGAACATTTGTAAAATATTTTAAAATAATTTGAAATATTTGAAACAATTGAAATATTTCATAAAAATATTCTAGAAACATTGTATAAATATTGTAAGAAGTATTTCAATTGAAACATTTCAAGAAATATTTCAAAAACTCTGATTTCCTGGGCCTATTTATATTTCAGAAATATTTTAAATTTTACAATGAAATATTCCATGCTGTGTGGGTTGCGTGTCAAATAATGAGGCATTAAGTATATATGTTTTATAGAATGTAATGATGAATTAATTTTGCAGAAATACAACAATTTATTACACGATTGTAAAGATTGAGTGACATTTTGCTCACATGTATCCTAGTCAACACGACTGACTGTATTAAATAAAAATAATGAAAAAAAAAACAGTGTCATTAATAATTTAGTATAATAGATTCATCGTTTTCCTATGGGAAAAAACACTTCTCTTTGGTTGCTTATAGCTGCTAGTTAAAGTTGCAAATTTACATTAGTTAAGCATTTTAATTTAAATAACAATTTAAATAAATACGATGATAAATATGACAAAACGCATCTAAATCATATAATTTAATAATCTACTTTTATATTTTTATTCTAAATTAATAAATCAAATTCTCATGCTGTTGGATACGAAATATTGTTATCCACCATCTTTAGCGCACAAGAAATCTTGCAATAACGATGAGAGGAAGTATTCCATGTACTTGCCATCTCGTTGCACCTGTAGAAACGAGAAATTTAAAATAGTAAATTAATAAAATTAAATAACTAATAATTCTAATAATTTATATATATATATATAGATTAATTTAATAAGATTAGTAATAATTAATGATCAAAATTCTTAAAGATAATTGAATACATAGTTTTAATGAGTTTTTAGAGATCTGCTTTTAGAGAATTATTAAACGTATTTTCTCTCTAGTTTGAAGAATTATAAGAATTATTAAAATGCATTTTTTACCATTGTCACTAAACTGAACACAATCCTGCAACTCCTCCATCAATGTATAGCCTTCGGTACAGATGCAGAAGCCTGTGAAGAAATAAATAAACATTTAATTCAAATTGAATCCTTGCGTATCAACAAATCGAATATTTAACAAATAGTACCGTCAATACAGTCCACTTTCGATTTCCAGGTCGAATTGGAGTCTTTCAAAGTTGTGGTGATACAGTGATGGTGAGTTTCGCAACGGCCGCCCAGTTCTGAAACGCGAAATTTTTCAGCATTATCATACATTGATCCGAACGATAAAATTTGATATATAAAATTCATATATTTATTTCACATTTAGTTTTAAATTATTCCACTTTTTGTTTATAATTTATTCTTAATAGGAGATCAGCGCGTGACTATTTGATTATTTCGAATTGAAGCGATCAAACAATTCACGTTTAGTGGATGGTAAACGCGAAACGTGTTAAGAAAGGTTCAGGATGATTGAGTACTCACCTACGTCGACGAAGCATCGATGACCGCGTCTGTGGGAACCGGCGACACAGTCGCACGTCATATTCGCGCCGCATTGGCTCTGCATCAGGAACAGTTGGCATTGGGAATGTTGTTCGCACTTCTCGCCGATCCAGGAAGCAGCTTTCAAACACCGCTGATCGTTCTTGGCCAGCACGCAGTCCACTTCGCAGTCGCATCTGTTGTGCATACACTTCGAATTCTCCACGATGCATTCGTCATCGCTGTTGCAGTGCTCGCCTAACTCTGAAAAGGATGTTAGATTTACTAAATCCAGGCTTTGTAAATTCCAAGACACTTATGAAATTCGACAAACTGCTTTTTATTCTGAAAAAAAGTCTTTCTTACTTTTGTTTTATTTAATATTTATTGTTTTAAAGAGAACTGAATTTATTAATATAAATTATAAATTGTCATGTAACGTAATACATGATAAATTTATTAAATATTATTTATTTAAATTAAATTAATATATACATATATAATAAATAATAATAAATTAATATTATACATTTTAAATTAATTAATTTTAAATTAATTTTAGAAGAAAGTAAAATAAAAAATAGATAGGCACGATTGCAGATTGAAGAAAAAATCTGGCAAAAAAATAAGGATTTATAACAATTCGTATCGAATTTTTTGCTGTCATACTTACTGGCGCTCGGCAGACAGCCGGTGTTGTCAGGATTCGCATGATGACGCAAACCGCAAGTGCAGAAACCGTATTCGCAAAAAGTATTCTTGATGTGACAATTGCGGTTTGAGCGACAACGTTTTCCCAAACCTAAATCCAAGCAAAGAATAATAATTTTAATTCTACTCAATTACATGCCTAAGTCGACGTTTATCCAATTAACCGACTTTCTTTTGCGTTTGATTGTCATGCAAAAAGATGGAAGCAATTGTAAAACATAGGTAATTTACGTGGAGTGAAAAAATCGTGCTAACGGTAAAAGACGAGCCGCGTTATTTAGTTATGTTACGAGTAATCATTTTTAATTTCACTTCCGCGCGCTCTGAATGTGGCACTGAATAGACCCGCTCGTTGAATCATCTCTCGTTATTAGATCCACACTAACTCGAGTTATTTATTTTTCCCACAAATACCTATGCATAACGAAGGAGTCCGGCCGCGAGGCCCCCCCTTGGGATACTTCCCAGGAAAAGTTGTAAAACCGACTCACCGATGGACTCGTAACACCTCCCATCCGTGAAGTGGGAATCGTGGGCGCATTGACAAGTGCCTCCTCGACATTCCGATTGCGGTGTAAACGTGAACTCACACTGGATGTCCTCCTCACAGGGATCGCCGATGTGAGCAGCCACTGTTGAAATAACGTGCCTTATGGGTATATCCTCTGTCTTGTAAGTTTGCGCATTTCGTTACACTCTGCATCCTCCGCGCGCGTTCGCGATAAGAGAACCTCTCGCGTCTCGTTACAGCAAGAGCTCGACTAATACTTCCCTCTTTGCGATCGTGCACGGTATTCGAAGATAACGTTGCTAAACGCATCATGCTAAATATAATCTAACGAAATGTTAAGCGTGACTCAAAGCTTAAGGGAAGGAGAGAAGACAAAAGTGTCACTTTAAATTTCTCCTCTTTCCAGCGTCTATTTTATCACTACCCGTTAATAGAAAGACAGTAATTCTCATCTAATCATCTTCTGAAAAAGCAATAAAAATCAAAAGCCAAATATAGCTAGCGGAGAAGTTTAAAATTTTGCATTCGTGAAATAAGGTAAAACCTGAATCTTTTTTTTGATATTTGAAGTTATATTTTCTTAATTGCTGAATCGTTGAATGAGATTTAACCTGTTCTATGTCATACGATACCTTTTTTCTCTATTTTGATATAATTTCTATGCTTGTACATTAATTTTATTTCTCTCAGTAAAGTTTTAAAGGAAAAAGTAGCTCCTGGGACAAATAATGACAATTTTTAGTTGGGTAAATAATGACAAGTCGAAAAGCTCTTTTATAATATAAGATTAGTTACAAGACAAGATCCAAAATAAATGTGATTTTTAATAAGAAATACTAGCAAATAATGTTACTCCTTTTTTTATTTATTTATTTATTTATCAATATGTTACTACTTTATTTATTTATTTATTTATCAATAAATAAAAATTTACATATGAAAGAGTATAGAAATTAATATAAATTGCCTTATCTAATCAAAATGTCAAAAGAAAGATCGATTAGAAGTTAAGAATTATGTATTTTGTATAGAGGTGTGCGAATAGTTCGAATTCAAATCTGCAAGAAATCGAAATCGAACAGTTCGAGAATTTCGAATCAACAATAGTTCGATTTCGAATTGGTTGTCTAATGTAACGTTAATCTGGGAAAATTTGATTCAGATTCGATTTATATTCGAATTAAAGAGATTTGATTCAATTCGATTCGAAGTGAAAATTTCAAATTCGATTCGATTCGATTTCGAACATGTTATAAAAATTCGATTCGATTCGATTCGACCATGCAAAGGCTTGATTCGTACTCCTTTAATTTTGTAATTGTTCCATAGGGTGTCATTATTTAGTATTTACCCATATAGGGTAGGGCAAATAGTGACAAATGTAGGTTTCATTTTTTATGAAAATCTAGCATGTATACATGACTTATGGAACTCTAATTAAATTTTTTGTATACTTTAAATTTTTTGTATATTTGAAAGTGGAAAGTACTCTTTTAATGAAAAATCATATCTTGTAAACTTGAAATTAGCTTGTAAAGAAGAGAGAGAGAGAGGGGGGGGGGGAAATCCGTCACTATTTGCCCTCCCCCCCTTCTTTCTTTATATGATTGGTAGGCGGAATAATCGTACAGAGCGTCTTACAACACGCGATTTTAATTTTAATCATAAAATGTTGGGCGAATGTCGACAGAATGCCGATTCCATTCTTTCAACTTCGTTTCAAACGTTAACTTTATTCAATCGTTTTACGATCGTGACGAAAGGGACATCGTTGTTTGTTCAGGGACGGATCTACGCCGTCCTGACTCATTCATAGAAATTATTCGTGATCTCTGTCGGCTCAACGAGCACGACGAACGACACGCTCCAGGTGAGGCGGGATCGTGAGAAAGGAACGGATAGGAATAGGGATGAACGGATATCTCCGCGGGATCTCGTTCTCTGAGGTCGATGACATCGTTCCCGACTGTTCGAATAATTAGACCGAGATCCTCAGCAGCGCTCGATCTCTCGCGGGATTTTTTAAAATCTAATTTTATTGCTAGTTTACGTTAAATTAATGTTAATGTATAATTAATGTTGATATTACGCTCAAAGAACGTGATAAAAAACAGAGTATCATTCAAATATTTCTAGTTATTACTCTTGAATTTTATGTATTATTACACAATGGAATACATCATGATTCACTTTGGCCGCTGTATATTTCCAAATTCACTCTACAAGTTAAAATAAATAAATTTCTTTGATCTTTTATTTGCAAAACGTACAAACGTGTTTTTAACAAGGACTGATTCAATTAAAGATGTATTTATAAAATGCTTAATTTATTTCAGGCACGCGATTCAATTTACTTAATTTAATATTAAAATATAACTAATGTTAATATAATATCACGGGGAATGTGACAAAACATAAAATACCTCTCAGACATTTGATGTTATTATTACTCCTGAACTCGATGTGATTGTCTTTGCACGAGCAGGTTTGCTGGTTCCGGCAAAACGCATTCGGAATACAGTCGACATCGTATTTACACTGGGAGAAGGTTTCTGAAAAAAAAATATATATTCGCCTCATTTGCGATGCGGTACGTTATTTATAGAATCAGATCTAAATGTAAACCGGTACGGTGCGTTATATAGAGTCAGATCTAAACGTGAACCGAGCGTTATGCCAAAAAAATTCATGCTCCAAGTAATTTTTCAATAATATATCATTACAATTTATAATATTATTTAAAAAATCGAAAAAAAGGAAGTTACATAAAATTTCTACGTGTAATTTAAAAAACAATGAAGAAATAAACAAATGACGCCAGCGGATGTATGAAAGCAATCGGCTTTGTATATACGTTCGCTGGCCAATTCACCGTGACATAATGAGTACGACCTAACAATCGATTAGACACGATCCGTGAAGAATGGACAACCGAAGGATCCTCATATTTCACGGTAGTTGCGCGTTCCGGCACGCGCTTTTGCCTCTCCCTCCCTCCCCCCGGCCCCATTAATTAATTCGTGCAAACGAAATCCGAATTGCTTATAATCGTTCCGTTTGAAACTCTGTTTGCTTACTGTTGCTGCGATTCGCGTTAACGCGATCGTTGCATCGCACGGACAGGTCCTCGTTGACGTAGGTGATCGTCGCGCAGACGGTAACGGGTACGAGGACGAGGAGCCCCGTGAAGCCGCATACCGTCCACGTCCTCGTCATCCTCGCGACGACGACGGCGGATGCGAGCCGCGTACGAAACGTTTCATCACCGCCGCCGGCCGACTTATTGTCATTTTCGGATCCCGCGAGAGAGAGGAGAGACCGGAGATCTCTCGCCCGGCCGCGACTGATCGTCCCGATCGCTCTCCGAAGGTCGCCACGTCACGATCCCGACACACCGCCGCGGGCTCGCCGGTTTAGCTTACGACGACGCTCTCATTGTTTCCTTGCCCGTCCAATCGTTGCGCAATCGTAGGCAGGGATACGTGGGTACACCCTCGAGATGTGGACATCATCGAGGCGCGATCATCGTCGGATCCCTCGACATTGTCTACATGACAGGCACCGCCTATGCCTGTCGCTTCATCCTCGTCTGTCTAAAGCGCGGCATCGGTGGAACCGTCGATTCGATTGGTCCTCGAACGAATCGATCTGAAACTTTGCCCAAGTCACGAGGTCTCATTAGGCATTCCGAATAAAAGATTATGAGATTCCAACTTGAACCGTTAGTACCGCCTTGCGAGAGATAGATTTTCCACGATCAATTTTCGTTTCGTCTTTCGAAACTGATTAAGAGATCTGGCTAGTTGTTGAAATGTACGGTGATTAATCGATTTTTTCTTTAATAGATTAATAAAAACAGGTTAATCAAACATTCTTTTCCTTGCTGTTTTAATTCGCATTAAACGATGAAATCTAAGTAATTTCTAATATAAGAAATTGTTTCTCGCTTTAATTTGTATTTACTATAATCTACGATAATCACGATCATTGTACCAATTTTAAATTGAAGTCGGCACGCAATTGGTAATAATTATCGTGCAATTTTAGTTGACTTTATACGGCTAATTTTAGACGTTCCAATTCACAAACGATCGCGTGCGAGGAAGCGCGTCGCTATAGCATCGTCTTGTTTCGTCGATTTCGACAGGCGGAAGATACAGTTCGAGCGTACTTCCCCGTAGAGAATTGACTTCGATTTAAACCCGCAAAAATCGCACGTTCATCGGTAATAATCATTGAGAATAGATTTATGCGTGCTGAGTTGTCGCTGATGGGCAACAGGTGCTAAATCGTCCTAATGCGCCTTGGTACCGTTCGTTTTGAATTAGAATCGCACGTCGAAGTGTCCTAATAGCGAACACGCGAAACATGCAAATTGCGTATAAATCATCAACTCTTCGGGATACGAGCTGTAGACTCGCAATGTAGAGCATGCTGCGTTTTAAAACAGTTAATTATATACAAATGCAAAAAAAAAATTCGAAGCAAATCCTTTAGTTTACCAGAAACGTGAGATGCACCGTTTTAAAACCTCCTAGCTCGTGCTTTTATCTATTTTAATAATATTAATATTTTTTATATTAATAATATTTTATATTAATAAAATAATTTTATATTAATAATAATATATTGTATTTTGTGTTTTATTTTACTATTCTTCTACGTAGACCCGAAGCTTCCGTCTTCGCGTTCCCTCACGAAACGCGATTACGAGAGAGCCTCCGCTTTTCAGTGCCGCGGGTCTGTCGACACGAAACCGTGGGCGAAGAGAGATTCCCCGCTTTGGATTTCAATGACGGTCCCGTGAACGCTCGAAGGTCGATCGCGGCGAACAAACGAGTTTAGCGCCCTGCGTTTCTATAGTTTCGGTTTGCGTTGCGCAACGCGGTGCTACACGTACAAACAGCAGAAGCTATTGTTACGTGTCAACAGTACCGTATTGTGAGCGAAAACTATTCCAACGTTATGTATATATCCGTTGAATCCTTGCTCAAACGCAATGATCGTGACACGAACAGACTTGGATAAAAAAACGGCCGCTTTGTAAGGGATAAATAAACGTAAAGGAAATAGGTGATTTGAACGAGAGTCGTGAGTAAAATCGAATGATTAAGTCGGATCATGCCATTAAGCGCCCTTTGGTAATCACGATGACATTAATGATATTAATGTCTTTAATTAATTAATGACATAATTAAGGCGACGGTAAATTTACGTTGATTTAATGATATCCGGTATTACTTGCACAAGCGATTTATGCAACTTGCACAAGCTTTGTTGAAGACCCCGTGCGTGTGCAGTAATCTCACTTCCAAAACACATTGTTAAATCGAATAACAGGCGAGCGTAGGAAACGGGCCCCCCCTTTGTTCTTTAATTATGAGCGGTTCTACTCGACATTCACCTAACTGTGAGAACCAGGAGCGTAGATCCGGTCTCCACGACTCCACGATCTTCGCGATTCTTCACGAAGGAAAGAAGAAAGGATTACTGGGTCATAAAAATACTGTCCTTAAAACGGTCGTCGCTTGCGATTTCTCGCAAATTGAAACGCGACGGTTCGATTAAATGGAAATCTCTTTATCCGTTCCCACAATTACCCGACGGAATCAATTAATCTCTATATCTGATAATCAAATAATAAAAGTAAAAATTGCATATTGGCTCGTATTTTAAAATAAAATAAATATTAGAAAAAATAAAGGCCAAGAAACGAACAAAGATGTAATATAATTATATACATTTATTCGATAAAACTAAAGCGGAACGTTTCGACTTTATTAAGTCTTTGCAATTTCCGTGTTCTCCAACTAGGATTAATAAATTAATCATAATTTAAAAATTTGTAGTTGCTGAAGAAAACTTAGTAAAGTCGAAACGTTCCGCTCTAGTTTTACCGATTAAAATTATATAATTATATTACAACATCTTCGTTTGCTCATTTGCTAGCCTTTATTTCCTCTAATTTCTATTTTATTAAATATAATAAAAGATAAGTAAAATTTATTCTTCAACAAATAAGTTTTACATTTTGTTTATCTTCCGATGCCACGACAATTACATTACAATTTTTACTTTAATTTTCATAATTTTCGCTAAAAATATTTTATTTGTACATTCACAATGATTGTATCATTAATATTAAATTAAAAGAATTCACAATGATTGTATCATTAATATTAAATTAAAAGAAATTTGAATTATAATTATATTTGGTTATAAGTTTCAAAAAAAATTCTTTAAACATGTTTATTCTGCGAGTTTCTTTGTTTTAATTTTAGCGTAATTTTTTCGCGCGCTTTTCTCGATACTTTCCTTTGAATTCTCTAACTTGATATCTGGTTTGATCTTTACACTCACAATATATTTTTATATTTTTCAACTATTTCTTAAATTAACTACTTTCGTAAATGCGTTTTTTTCGAAATTTTTCTATCGTATTTCTTCCTTATTAATTTGCAATATTTGTGATTCTATGTAATTTGATTTTTATACAATATAAACTTATATTTCTACTATATTTATCGCTTTCTTAAAAGCGTTCTACGCTTTTCTGCACCGTTTTTCTTATGTTATAGCACCTAGCTTTTCTTTATCAACGTAATATTCACGCAAAATCTTTTGATTCTTTCCTTTGAATTTTATAACTGATATGATATTTACACCACCGGCCAAATGTTTGAGACTATTAATTGAAAATATTTACTTATATAAAATAAAATTAAACTTATACATTATAATTTAACATATTTTTATTATTGTATTCGTTATTTTATAATAAGATAAAAAATTTTACAAGATGAAAAATGTTAAAGAAACACTTTTTTTGGTAAAAATAGTCATACTTACAATCGCTTCTTTCATTAATCCAGGTAATCTGGCTACAAATTTATTCATTTCTTTTGGAAGACTCTTCTATTTTCTTAAATCGTCCATTTTCTTGAAATTAAACAATATTATGTTAATCATAATAATGCCAAATACAATATGTCTGTTTACTTTTACAATAAGGGAAAATATTTGTGAGTAAGGCATAAATCGGAATTTTAAGTAATATTTTATTAGAATATTTTTAAATTATGTACATGGTCTCAAACTTTTGATCAGTAATGTAGTTCGAGTTTTACACTCACGATGTAATTTTATATTTCTCGAATATTTCTGTTATATTAATCGTTTTTTTAAGATATTTTGTTAGATATTTTTCGTATTTCGCTCTTCTACCTATTTTACTATGTATCTATTAACACTAATAATATTCATGCGATATCTTTCAATATTTTTCTTTAAAATCTTTACAACTTGACATACGGTTCAATTTTTACACTCGCAATAGAGAGTTTTATATTTCTTCAATATTTCTATTATATTAATTGTTTTTCTAAAGGCCGTTTTAATACTTTTTTTAATTCTATTTCTTCAACAAATATATTGCATCTGCTTTTCTTATCAGCACGTAATATTTACGCTATCTGTAGATTTTTTTGTTTGATTTCGCTATAACTCGATATTTAGTTCGATTTTTATACTCATAGTATGATTTTAAGTTTCTCAAATATTTCTATCGTATTTTATTGTCTTAAAGGCGTTCTCTTTTATCACGTTTCTTTTATCACGATATTGCACTTGTTTTTCTCTTGATACGCAATATTCGCGCGGTATCTCTCGGTGTTTTCCTTCGGAATCGCGGCACCCCGTGTTACACACGATTCTTACAACTCACGTCGACGGAATAGATGCTCGCGCTGGCCGTGCACGCCGGCGACTACACTTCGTATAGCGAAGCAAAGCGCGATTGACAGTACAACGTTCCGCAGCTCCCTCACTGGAGGCCTACTCGGCTGACTCCTCGGTACTCCCACCATTTCTTCGAAGGATTTTTGCCCTCGTCGTCGACAGTCCTGGTGAGAAAGAGGCACTTTTGACGAAATTTCTACAAAAATTCGAAGGTTTAGATATTTTCAAATCGTGCGATTATCCGAAGTCTCTGTCACGCGACTCTACAAGTCTAATCGCGTTTTGTAACTGATATAAACCTCCTTGGGAGAGTCCTTTTAAATTCTCGTCTGAACAGCTTAATCCAGGTGGAGGTGATGAACCTTTCATTGATGGATGGCATTGTGCATCAAGAGTGACATTGCGTGTGTAGATTTTTTTGAGATATTTTTCGTAAGATACTCATTTATTTTCTTTTCTTTTTTTTAAAACATGTTATGAACTTTTTTGAGCCAAGATGAGAATAATAATAGTGAGTGGTTAAATCTTTCTTGGTTTTATTTTGTTTGAATTATTCCGGAAATATATGGCTCGAATATTTTTAAATAGTACTTCGAAAATGATAAACTAAAAATTAAATATGAAACCAGCAATGTTTTCTGAATAAACATGTAAATAGAATTATTGTACTTTGTAAAGTAAATGCATATTATTAGATTAAAAACTATTTTATAATGTTTTATATTATTACTGCTTTATAAAATGTTTTATAAACAAGTTTTATAAATACTATTATCTAGTACATAATGAGAGTATGCTATTAAATTTCTTATTTTTAAAATTTGCTTTTTTAATTAATATGCTAGAAACTTAATTTCTTAATATAATATTTATTAATAGAAATACGAATATTTTAAGTGAAACATATGTAAGTTGATAATTAATTAATTCTAATTTACATTAGAAATAAATAACACTAAATTTAATATTGCATTAAAAATTTATAACTCAACCTACTTATACAAATTGAATTAAGTAGATAAAGCACCTATCCTACTCACCAGACAATTGAACGTAATTTATTAAATTTGAAGGATAATAAATAAAGTATAAAAATTCGAATCACAATTCAATTGTTTGACAAACAAGCGACAAACTGCTTTTTCTACTTGAATTCCCAATGTTTTAAATTGACTCAATTTTAATCCATTATATCTTTAAAATGGATGTTTCTAGAATGCCCAGAAAAGAAACATATATTGAACGTTTTTCAAACGTCTTAAAAACGTCCTCTAATCCAGACGTTTAAAATATGTATGAAACATTCAACATACATGTTTTTAATTAGTATTATTAAAATATATCGTGCTGCCTGAGTAAATACACACACGCGCGCGCGCGCGTGTATATATAGGTACATAATATATACAAAATATGTTTTACAATCCGAGCTATTTATTTGAAAAACGAGAGATTTATACAAATATAAAAAACAGAATCGCCATTTAAGAAATATATTTAAGAAATTGCACGCTTTATGATATTATCACAATATAATATATAAAGTATAATATTTTATATATATGTATAATTTTATTATAAAATATTTTACTGTATATATTACATATTTTACCATAATACAATGATGGAAATACAAAAAATGATGGAATCGTATAATTGTACTAATAATTATCGTATTCTAAAAATTTAATGATATATATATATATAAATGCATGCTTAACAATATTAACTACTTGTTCAAAGATCAAAATTCGAACAAGAGATTCATGCGAATGTAAAAGACAAACAGAATTTGTTTGTATGAAAAATGTATTTAAGAAATCGCGCGTTTTATAATATCGCCGTAATATAACATATAAAATACAACATCACGTATATGTAGTTTTGTAATAAAATATTTACCGAGAGTAATTACAGTTACTGAGAGCTCAGTGAATTTCATTGAAATTATTTCTATTAAAATACGTACGAAAGGAATGTGTCGACGCTAGCTATGATAAACACAGAGAAATGCTGAACTTTAACATTGATTCTAAAAGGGCACATGTCAAAATTTCAAAGCTATCTATTTATACATTATTTATATACAAAAATATAAAATTTATACAATCTACAATATGTGTAACTATATATACAGTACGCTTTAAAAATTTGACATTTGCTCTTTTAGAATCGCACCATACTTATGAATTGGAGTAATAAGTATTGAAAAGAAAGAAACACTATTAATTTCATCTCCATTTTTTTCATTAAATAATCGCAAAGGTAGAGCGTGAAATAAACAGTTATTTGGACATCGTGCACATCCATGACTTGATCTAAAAGGAGAGGCGCATGAGAGAAAAAAGAGGATTTCAAACTTCGACTGAGTGTTTTTTTCGGCGCTCGCGAATTCTGTCCAGTTTGCAACGCTCTAAGAAGCGCGAGCGCTATGAAACACATCAGCATCCGCATATTAATAACCGCGTTAATTAAATACACGCGAGGCGCTTTAAACACGTCGGTGCGCCTAGTTCGAGAGCCTCCGCCTTCGCCGCGAGTGTTTTGCTGCGCAATTACATTACGGGCGCTTGATACTGTTTCGTTTTCACGCCGCTCTTCCCCCCCTCCCCCCCCACCCTCGTTTCCCACCGGTTTTCCATCGGTCTTACGCAACTTTGTTACGGAAAAAATTATACATTACAACCTTGGCGACTAGCGATGGAGATTGAAGAGAGAGAATATTTTTACACGACCGATTTTTTTGCGCATTGAAGAGATATTCTCTGTTATCCCTATCGTTTTTCGATACCGTACTGTTTAAATATATTATTGTACATTTTAAATGCATCACGGATCGACCATAAGTACGCGATCATTCAAATCTGTATAAAGCTGCATTCTATAATTGAAACTTGAACACAATACCATTCCTCTTTCTCTCCTGTTTTTCTTTCAAACTGTCATCACGGCAGTCTCACATATGTACAGAGGAGATTCATGAAATTACGTGCATCCTTTCGCGAGGCCACCGCCTTTGGCTAAGATCAGCGTGTACGTTAACGCAATATTTTTATTACTCGTGAGAAATTTGCGAGGCCCTTCTTCGAAAGAATCCTTAAGAAAAAAAATCTCGCGAATGAAACATGAATAATTACAATCCGCGAGTAAACAATCCGAGAATAATATTGCCTTCTCAGCCACGGCGGCCCTTTATTTTACTTGCGTTTCTTCCTCCTTGAGATTACGTTTCCTCTTGCGCATGCACGATGTTGCGACCATCAGAAGTCCAACTCCATTCACAACGACATCGAGTGCGCCTCTTCAGAGAAATCACATTTGTGCGACTTACGAAAGGAGAGACAGCGCTATCGCACAGACGATTATCGACAAGGTCACCGCGACGGACGCGCCTGTGAACAGAAGATTGCGCGGATTGTGAGCGAAATTGAATTTTCCAAGCGAATAAAATCGAAGCCTCGTCTTTCGAGCAAATAATGGTTGTTAATTTGCTTTTACGTTATAAGATACGTGTTACATCTCTCTTCACTTACCGGCGCTCACGCATTTGTTATCAATCAGGACGTAATTGTCGGCGCACGTGCAGACTAGCTCTTCTTGTGGGTCGCACATCATAGACTTCGTCGACGAATCGTTCTCGTAATCCTCGGCTTGATAACACTCGTAGGTGCTGTTGCACGATTCGCCGATCGCTGCAAAACGATGTGAAAACGATTGATTTTACAACTCTCTCATGGTGCGCGCTTCCTTCTCCCGGCGATAATTGACCTGTCTCTCGTCGGGAGATAGATTTTTAACCCTCTGCCCGGAATATCGGTCATTATGACTGCTAAGGTTCAAGCTCTCAGATATATATTTTTCGTTATTTAATTGTTTACTAGAGTGGAAGACTGATGGTATATAACTTATTCCAAATTTTGTTCTTAACGTTTTTGAAATATACAATTTGTTCGTTGTTTTTTTTTTAACTCAAATTGTGTTCTGAATTATCCCATTTCAAATGAACAAAGACCAAAAATTGGATGTTCTGGGCAGAGGGTTAAAGATTCGCGGCGGTAATTCCACGAGGGAAAATGCCAGCGGCTTGAAGGGCGTACCTCTGTTGGGGAAACACCTCGTCATCTCGCGTTCGTAATGATAACCATGGTCGCACTGGCACACCTTGTCGATGCAAGTCGAGAACGTGAACGTCGTCGCGCACTGTATCTCCTCCGTGCATTCATCCTGGATCTTTTTAGCGACTGCCAAACATCTCGTGCCATTTTCGTTCAGCACCGTTTCGGCAGGGCATCCGCATGTCATGTTGTCGTTGCAGATAACACCCTCGATGTGCGAGCACTCCTCGTTCTTCTTGCACGACTCACCGATTTCTGCAAACGTGTGATTACACTTGTCAGGGAAGATTAAAGTACCGGTGAATATAATGTGACATCCGCAAATGTGGCTTTGCAAAGTCGCGAGAATAGAGGCGTGAGAAAATGATATTGACAATTATGAAATTATAATCAGAATAAGAGACGTGGGGTAATTTAATATTTGTGGTAGCAAAACAGCTACTAGAAATTGTTAGTCGAATTATAGTTGAGTTAATCATTATTTTATTATATTGTATTTTATTTTGGTATACTTCATAAGTTATACAGTTTGCGTTTATTAAGTAGTAATGAAGTAGTGAGTAGTAAGACAACTATAATACATAGCTATATGTAGACTTTATAAGTACGAATAATCATATTCTTTGAGTTTTGACAAATATATTTTTTAAATGAGTTATTAATTAAGTCATAATGATATTATGACATACCTATCGTATTAATAATATACTTTTTGTTAATACAACTATAATTTAACGTTACTATTTTCTTGTAGCCCATTCAACCTAGTAAAATTGGATAATATTATCATATTTCCTCAGGACATAAAACTTCTTTATTTTTCTTATCGCAGTCTCTAATTAAGACATTATTTTTCTTTAATTTCTTGTACTCTAATTGTACTACCTACTTTTATTCTCAAAATATGTATGCTTAGGTTGATTTTGACAAAACTCGAATTATTTTGATTAATTAAATCGAGCATCGTCGATAAATTAATTCATTAAGTACTAGTACTTAATGAATTAATTTACTTAAGTACTTAATACTTAATACTTAATGTTTTTGTTAACATAAATAAGATCAATTTTTATCATCTGACAGTAAGAAGAAATATTAGATTAGTTATCATTAATGTGAGAAGTTTTAAGTTAGAAATTTTACATTTCTACTGAATTAATCATTTTGTTTATTTTGAAATAAAATAATCCAAAGATTATTCGAAAAATTATAGTCCAAATATTATAATTTAAAAATAATCTCAAATTTTTGCCAAAGGATTCTTCTTGATAACGTCATATTGTGATCAACACGCGAATCACAGTGGGATCGAAGAATACTCATAAAAGAACATTTATTTTCAGATTTTTTATGTAATATTATTCTAAGAAATATAGACATTATTGTTGCAACACACTTACCGATAATTTCCCAACATACATTGTCTATCAAATGATAACCAGATGCACAAACGCATTTACCGTTCTCGCAAGTAGAGTTCGCCAAAAACGGTAAGCATTGATTTCTATCTGTGCAAGAAGCCTCGATCGAGTCGATCTCTATTTGAAGAAATTGTATAAGCGTTATGATTAGCTACTAAAATTACCAGAAGAAAACAAATAATTACATGCAATAATTATAATCGAAAAACGTTAAATTATTATTTGAAGAGAGATACGAAAATTTTTGTCTCGAAAAATGTCTAGAATTTCTCGCTTTTTGCTCGAGACCAAAAGTTTCATAAATATTTATTTGCGCTTACTTTGAACGCAATATTGCTTGTTACTCGACGGTACGTAGCCTTTCGTACAAGCGCACTGGCGAATAGTAAGGTTGCACATTCCGCCCTGGAAATTACATTCATGATCGAGATGGCACATCCGATAGAGCAGCGGACCTATTATAAAAGAGAATTATCTTACAGACGTCAGTCGTTTATTCGAAAAATTCGACAAATAAGATAAGAACTGTGATATATTCAAGTCGCGTTTCCAATCGTATCACCTGAAATTTTACTCCCGTGCATAGATGCATTGATGCTAGAGCAAGCTTGAATGTCAATATCTGGCTTCGGACACATGCAATGTCCGTCTTTGCAAAAAGCGTCCCCCGGAAGTGTCGACATGTTCCTACAATCTGACGTGTTTCTGCACGGAATAAGTGTATCTGTAATTGGATCGGTCGTTTCAGAAAGCGTTTCAAACTTTGTACAAGCAAAATATAAAAGCTGCTGTTCATTACAGTGTAAATAGGTTAGTTATTTTTGTTTTCCATCTTAGAAAAGTTGTCATCAATTATAACGGAAGACGTATAATGAAAATACACAATGGAATACATCGTGGAGCTTTTTGACCGTTGTGTATTTTCACAAATTCGCTGTATAAATAAAATAAAATTAAAATAGATAAACTTTCTTCAATCTTTTATTTGTAAAACGCGCAAACGTCCTGGGCGATGACCGATTCAATCAAAGATGTATTTAAAATGTTCAATTCGTCCTAGAACGCGAACCAATTTGCGTGCAGGCATGCAAAAAGTGAGAGACTTACTGTGAAGATAAATAAAGCTGTTTAACAAAAAATATACTTTTATATATAATATTTTTCTCTAAATAATATATTTTTTTATATTTTTTCTTATATTTTTCTCGTTCGAATAATCTGCGTTGTTAAGTTTGAGATTACGTGTGTTAATGTTATAAATAATAATCAATCATACGTATACCATTACAATATGCGTGTATTACGATAATTTTTCGCGATATAAATTCATTAAGAATTTAGAAAGTACACAAAAGCGTTATGTACATATCCCGAGAGATGTGATTTATTTGGAGAACATTTAACTTATTAGGCATATACCATGGTATTAAGTATTAAAAGTGATATATACAGAAATTCCGTTTTCATTTCGATAAGAAAGTGCTATGTTATTATATATTAATATGGTTCATTGTGTGTTGTTATCATAAACCATGACCGTTGATCAGCATATTCAATATCGTGCTTGAGTGATTCAAACGTTGTAATGCAAATATGAGTAAATGTATAATCATTAGATGCAGATTAGATGCTAAGAATTGCAGATATAAGGTATAATTTGAAATTGATTATTAGATAAAAGAAACTAATTAATAATTATTAGTTTAACTAATAGTTAAATTATAATATTTAATTTGGCTCTTTCCCTCATTATTTGTTGTATAAATTATAATAATTAAATTTATTAGTGACCTTTAATATTGATTTATCATTTTTATATTAAATAAATAATAACGTTTTAATTAAATAAATAAAATGTTTAAGCAGGGGATCCTGTCTGACCATTCTCAGTTGCCGAGCCTTTCTAGCAGTCCGTCAGCAAAGTGCGTTATAATTTTTGTATCTTATCACGGGCGAAAATTCAGCAGTCTTGAGCAGCGATCAAATTCTGCGTGAAACTCTGGTTCAAATTCTGCGGGAAAATCTGGTTCCGGAACGTTGGAAATGTTGAGAACAGCTTATGGAGATGCTGCTTTGTCTTCAGAATTTGATCGCGTAATGCTGCTCAAAATTGAAAATGCTGAATTTTCGTCCATGATAAAATACAAAAATCACAAAAATGCTAGAAAGGCTTGAAGACAACTGCAGAAAAGGGTCAGACCTTGCCAACTATCTCGACCGCCGTTTTCCTTTCTTGGTCCTTCTCATATGCGCACAATAATCAGTCTCATTATTTTTGGGACATCCATATGTATATGTATATATATAATGTTAATTATATTAGTTATTAATATTAAAGGTCACACTCGGAGTAAATCAGAAATATTCGTAGCAATCTATTACTAGTAAACGATTCTTATAGATTTTAAATTACTATCGCCGTGCGGCATCAAATTAATTGTAATTATATAATTTAATAAAATATATTTTCTCGCGAAAGAATATATTTTTCAGAAAATATTTCTTCTCGCGTGCAAAAGTATATTTCAAATTACAATTGATAATTTAATTTAGATTCACGGCAGAGAGTTTGGAAATAAATGCGAAGCAAATTCCAAAGGAATTCTCGGAAGAATAAAGGTCACCTGAATGTTTGGGACGCTACGGCACGGTATTTACAACGTGCAAACGTTACCTCGTCGTTTCTTGTGATTATGCCAAGCGTCATGTATGTATATGATTCAAAATCGTGCCGCCGAGTCTCGCGAGGCGCGAAAATCTGCGATGAGAATCCTCTGCAATTATCGCGCCGCGAGACACGCGAGCTCTTAGCGCGAGATTAGCGAGATAGACAGATCGCGATTTGGTCCCGAGAGGGATGGCACACTCACCAATCTTGTCCCCGTTCGCCAGACCGATCGCCAGCGCGATCGCGGCCAGGATCACGCACGTCCTCACGTTGCCGGCCAGACCCATCTCTTCTGCCTCTTCCGAAAACAATTCGATGCAATTTGCGTTTATCTCTCTCGCCGAGCTCTCAATTTACCTCTGAGTACGTGGCCCCTGACTCAGCTCTATTATGCGAAATCGGCCTGCGATCGGTTTGCGATTGAGCGTTGATACCGTGAGCGCGACTGATGAACGCGAGTCCGAAGAACCGTAGTGCGCGAGGTCCTCCTACTCGTCCCGTTTTATTGTGCTCTCTCACCAGTCTCACCCCACGACCACTCGCTCACAGCATATTTCTGTGCTCGTCCCTCTCTGTGTGCCTGCTCCCTCCCACTACGGCGCGGCACTAATTTCCTCCCTGCTCCTTGCCCGAACGGATCGCAGGCACCAATGAATACGATCGGTTTATTTTCCCGCGTTTTACTAAATAATACAGTCGTAAAAATGCATTTTAAGCATGATATATACCTACATTTGTTAAAACGACACACTCACGTTTCGTACAGTTATTATTTTAATTTGAAATTCTCTTTATTACGATATGATAATTTTTTACTACGAGTATCGAGTATGTCTTTTTAGTTTGTATTGCCTGTATTGTCTTTAATTTTTTCGTTAGCATTATTTTTAATTCAATGCGTATGGCTTATTTTATTTTTTAATATTATACTTGAAATTATAACATTCTGTTAACATTATACACATATTATTATTATTGTTTTATTGTTATTTCAATTATGTTAAAAGTTTAAACTTTTGTAAGTAACATTATTGCTAACATATACCTCATTTCTTGAAATCTTCTATTATACTTTGATATATAATATTTTCATGTCACTCACACTTTAATAAAATAATTATTGTTAAATTATATAAATAAAACGAAGTAAAGATTCTAAAAAAATAGTAAGAAATATATATTCATATAGGAACATGAAGCGAAAGTATGTCTGTGTTATATATACATACATACAAACGCCTTCTGTTTCAAAATATTCGTGAAAAGTCATCGTTTACTAGCAGAATTTCAATGTCTCTGTATGTATTTTATTGTTAATATCTTTGTCTAGCACATTTTCTGTAATATAATTTCTTTTCTTGTAGAAGCGAACAATTACGTTTCAGACACGTGCAAACGCTTTAAAGTATCTCTACTCGCAAAGAATCAGCTCTTCACATTTTATTCATATAAATTTTTATTTACCTTACATTATTTTATTGTATCTTATAATTGTAATTAAACTATATTTTTTGTTCTTTTACTTATTGCATCGTTTATTTCATTCTATACGTGTTCATTAATTCGTTTACTTCACCGTTCTCAGAGCTCTCTTTCCTTTAATCAATTTTAATTCTTATAACACAAAAACCAGATGAAACTAGATTTAAACGAAACTGTATAAGCTTCCGACGCTTCGCGATTAGTTGGACTGGTAACCGAAAGTTAACAGTTACGGGCATTTATTGCAATCGCGATAACTGATACTTTATCGAAATAAAATATTATGTGTTATTTATAAATATTGACACGTGTAAATATTATGCGTATTGTTTATAGGAACGTCCATCGATGTGTTAAATGAAATATTCGTGTAAGTATTTGCCACGCTTCCTTCATTTCCTTGTAATTTCCGATGCGCATCGTATTCTGCAGCACGGCTGCCATCAGTGAGATAAATGCGACTTGCGGTGCAAATCGCCACCGTGAATTAAAGATGCGTAAAGTATCGCGCGAGAATGTAAGGCCTCGTTTCACATAGTAATCATAACAATAATGAATCCGAGGTTGAATTAGCAGAATAATTGCTATCGCGGCACGTACTGCACGTTGAATGAACGCTTGGTTAATCGCCCTAACACACACCTAATTAAACAAGGTATGTTGATCGTATTATGTCATTTAATTGTTACCATCCAGCGCTTTCTTCGTTTAATCGATCGCCGGATTTACGCAAATGACGCCAGAGAAGAAACATTCATCAAAATGTAAAAAATCGAAGTAATAATATTATTACAACTGTAACTATGATCTCAATTTTTTCAACTTGTTATAATCTTGTCATATAAATGATAAAACCAATAGAACCTCCCGCTGCCTTTCAGCTCCGTCGCGAATTCGCAAATCGATGACACGGCATATTTTCTGTGTTTTCGTTTTACACAATGCAGTATCGAGAAATAATAACGTCACGCGTTTCAGCGTCTTTCATAAACCGCAATTGCGATCCTTTAATAGTGCATTTGTTGCTCAAATTATTTTCTCTTCCCGCCGCGAGTAGTGTTACATGCCGCGACGCAATACATTATTCTATTTATTTTAGAAATAGTTTTTCTCAAGTTTCTAAACAAATAGTTTGACATCGTGTATCCTAACAAACCTATCACACATATATATAAACCTGCCTAGACTAAATAAACCATAAATTCTGATCCCTCCGATCCCTCATGACTTATTTATCTTAAACGCCTAATCATTTCATACCGGTTGTTTGAATTTTCCTTCTTCACGAAAAAGAATCATGCTAATCAATATTTTACCTAGAACGCTTCGCGTTATTGATCATTATTCTACAAAATGTTTCTTTAAAACTCGAAATGAAGATCTCTCTTGATCGAAAATAGTCAGTTCTATGTCGTCACTCGTAAATACGCCTTGCCTCGTCATTGTTCAGAACAAAATATCTTGTAAGCGGACGGTTGTCGATTTTCTTTGATTTTGAACATAACCGTGGCTTCGGTTCATAACAGAGTAGTCGGAATAAATGATCGGTCAAAAAAATGAGAGAAGCGTCCCTACTGGTTTTGAAAATAAACTAATGTTTTAAAAGTAATTGATGTTTTTACCATTCTCACAATCAGTGAAACGACGATGACGTATTTCTCTCGATAAGAGCCTCTGATTCATTCCGAACGGGATATCGCTAGATACGCCTAGAGATAAGACGTTTATCTGACCAGGGCGTATACACGCCTCGTGGAAGGTGCGTCGTGAAGCCGCTGGCTATAGTTACCTGAATATGTTTCACGTTAGCACCTGAGCACAGATTTTTGTTTCAATGACGGTTCTCGTCTGCATCTCTCTCGTTTTCTTCTCGCTCGCCGGCTACGTCTTCTCTCAGGAGCACCGTGAGTGTACTCGAATTACGCAAATTATCATGCAATTATCGCAAGATTCCTGACATGAATCTGGATGCAAATTGGTAACGTTACATCTCATGCGGCAAAAAAATTTGAGGGATTTACTTATAGATTCTGAGCTTCTTTTTTAAGATTTTTCGTTTTTTTTTCAAATATGTCCTTTAAAGAGTCCAAAAAAATGTTAATCATCTGGACCGTCTTAGAAAAGATTTAGATCTTTCACATATCTTTCATATCTTTGAGATAGGTAGTAATTTCTCAAACAATTTTTGAATTTTAATTTTAGAACACATTCCAATCTTTAAGATATTTTTAGGCGTTTTTCATGTACTTTTTAGACTTTCGTGTTATTTTGAATCAATTGTTAGAAAAGTATATTAATAGCAAAATTGCATTGAAATTAGATTAATTTCCAAATAACCGTCATTTAATTAATATAAATTATGTTTGTGCTTAACTGATTCTTATGTTTAGTTATTAGAATATTTTTCCTCTTTTAAGTGAATCATACTATTGCGATTCTTAGTTATTCAAATATTTTTCCTCGTTTTAGCAAATCGCACTATTGCGTATATCGGCGAAAAATGCGAGAGGGACATCGATTGCATCGATAATGCATTTTGCCAAGGGCAAGAAGTCTGCCGGTGCGATCCCTTTTACTCACCAAGCCTCGATGGATCAAAGTGTACCGCCAGTAAGTTTTCACTATCAATTATTTCCCTAGCGAAAGATAATCGGGATCGCAATGTTCCGTGAAAGCAAGTTGATTAATCGACAAGCGCAGTTTTGGGTAAATCAACAAACGCGAAGAATTTTTTGTCAACACAGTATAAAAGTTACTATTTAAAAAAATTATTTGAAGATTGTTTCACAACCTTAGATTTAATTCTTGTTTGTTCGGTTGCGTTAAGTAAACCAAGTTAACAAAACCATGTTGCATTCATGTCTACTTGTTGTACAATATTTTCTTTTTTATTAACTTTTTTTAATACAATCTCTAATCATATTGTTATTGCATATTTTTTATTTTACTTATTTATTTCTAAGGATTATATTTATATTATATGATATGCCATTTATCATTGTTGTAATTATAAAGAAAATAGTGTATATTGTTTATAAAATATAGATGCGTTTTAATTCAACATGTCACAATGCTCATGAAAAAATATGAATTTTAGCAGTTATGAAGGCAATGGTGACTTAACAAAACCCTTTTTATTTTACAAAAATGAATATTTAATGAATGCTATTAAAATTATATTCTTATTAATTAGAAATATTCAAACACAAAAAAGAAAACTTTACTTTAGATATAAAAATAATTCACTTTCGACTACTCAAAGTAAATACCAAAAAATCCGTACGTCTAATAATACGATCAGAAACTAAGAAAAGAGAATAAGAAAATTACTTTCAAAAATTACTTGTTGATAAAATAATAAGATTCCTTGCGTTTTTATGCAGCTGTTGGGCTGACCTGCTTGAACTATGTACAATGTCAAAGCATAGCAAATGGCGAATGCAAGCAGAACACGTGCACCTGCAAAGATGATTTCTTCTTGGATAACAGAAATTTTTCAAACTGCATTAGCAGTAAGTAATAATCGCGATTCTCGTCGTATTGAAGTACAGAAAAAAAAGTCTCGGAAAGTATTGGCGGAGGTATCACATTCCGTCTTCGCATTTGGCAAATGGTTGAAAGAAGAAATTATGTTACAGGACCCGTTATAATCGGCGATCGCTGCCAACTTAATACGAATGACAATATGTGCCAGGAAAGATTCAATATGTCACTATGCATCAACGAAAAATGTCAGTGTCATACGGGGCATCATTTCGTAAACCAGACAAAGACTTGCATGCCGAGTCGAGGTACGCACTCATGTCTTTCTTCTTCCACAAAACTTAAATTTTTTAAAACAATCGATTGTTTTAAATTCCAAAAAGAATTAAATGGATAAGCGTTATTCGAATTTTTTGAAAACTTATAAGAATAAGCTATTAACTTTGAAAATCTAATTAAAAAACTATTTTGGAAATATTTTTTGAAAAATTTATATGACAGATTTTAATAGACTTTTTTAGGTATTATGTAAATTACACTTTCGGATTCAATAATTTCATTATGTTAAATTTAGACTTTTTTAGGTATATATTAAATTATATTATATATTATATATTATATATTATATATTAATAAAAATGTGATATGTTATATATTAAAGTTCATATTTCAAAGTTATTAACGAGGCATTACAAAAATCACAGTGTGCATGAGACACCTCGGCTTTGAATGATCTGAAACAGAAATCTCACAAGAAATTTTTATTTATGAATAGTTAAAGACTCAGAGAAAGCATAATTTTCTGTAACTTCAAAAATTAACATTTTTTTTGCTCTGTTAAAGATTAATTTTATCTTTGCTAAAAAGCGACTTTTAAATTTAAAATGACGTTATTTTGTTATTTTTTATTTTCTCTTTTTTTCCGGAGTTCATGCCTTGCTTCAACTATTTATAAATGAAAATTTCTTAGGATTTCTGTTTCAGGTCATTCAGAGTTGAGATATCACGCACACCACGTTTTTTGTAATGTAATATAAAACACTTGTTTGAACACTAATAACTTTGAAATTAATGATTATTTTTATATCAACTTTTTACTGGAGGGTTAGTTTAATATATGTATGTATGTAACAAATCTACAAAAGCTTCCCATACAGCAGAAATTATTCGAAATACATCATAGCGATATCCTAAAGATATATCACACATACCAAATATACTTTTATGATTATCCCTAAAATATTTATATTTATATTTTGGACCCTTCTGTTATGTGGGCCTATAAAAATCCACCATAAATTTAAAAAAATAGCCTAAAATAACTTTCTTTGTAAGATTTCCAAAGGTCAAAAGGCCCCTAAATACACTTTGACGCGATTAGATTATTAAATATTTATTTTTTCTGCTTTGTACAGTTTATTAATTTGCTTTTCTAGAAAAATATGTATGAGTATTTTCAACGTTACTTTATTTATTCACAGCTCTATACTTTTCATGCTCGTTCGACTACGAGTGTTACGAGAGCGACAGGCCATCTACCATGTTGTGTAAAGATGGTCAGTGCGTGTGCAAGGAGGGAGAGCGATGCTCTAAAGGTTAATTATACTTAATTGCGTCGTCACAAGCTAATTTAGTACAACTCTTTCTAAGTCGCTTAAGTATTTGTCTCTTTCTTTCGCAGGCTCGCTAATGACGGCCGCCGGAACGCTTATGGCAATCTTGCTCTTTCTACAACGAATTGCACACTAGCGAATTAATTCGTGAAATATCCAATTGCTTCAATCAATTTTACAATATAATATAATACAATACAATATAATATTTGCCGCACAAAATTATGACAATTCAACGCAAGTCATGTAAATGTAAGTTATGCAAATTACACTTTCGGGTTCAATAATTTAATTATGTTAAATTTAATAATATACTGATTTAGTGATTGTTTTGTATATCATTTTTATATTGTATTAATATTTTTAATAAATGGCTTCCAATATGTTTTGAGAAACAGAAGTTTTACAAAAATTTTGCGGTTGCTATTGAAATAAAAAATTTATATGAAAAAATATTAGTCTTACAAAAAAACTTTTGGAAATTATTAGAAAACTATTTAAGTTCAATATTATATATATATACCGTATATTTCAATAGCTTTTTATTAATACTAAAAGCAAAGCATTAACATATATACACACACATATATATATATATATATATATATATATATATAGAAGAAATATTTATCTGTTGTTTATTGTTAACATAATATTTATCTTTTCTATTTCCTCGTAATCCTAAATTGTGCGAATACATACATATTTTTTATTTTCTATTTATTTTTATCTATTTATTTTTAATATTTTATTATATTTATAATATATATTATATTTCATATTTAAAGTAAATAATTTATATATTATTACATTTAATATAATTAATATAATTAGTAACATTAATTACGTTTAATGTAAATACAGAAAAAAAAGAAGATATACAATATTAAAAAAGAAAAATAAAGGAAAACCGGTAAATAAGCTGGCCAAATTCTGCCTCGCGATGGAACCTAATCTTTAAAAATCCTTCCTTAGGCATCCTAAGAAGTATGAAAAAAACCGTTATTTATCCGAGAAATTAAGGGGAAAATTAATTGTAAGAATAACCCAGTAAGCTATTAGGCTTTAATATTAATTTATACGTAGAAAGCACAACAGTAGTGCTCTATATATATTATATCTTAACTTTAAGAAATTATACATCTGTGTGTAACCAAAATAAAGAGCATAGACAGAATGCCATATGGCCTTTCAAATTAATACATGTTAATTAATTCTAATTATAAGATCTTTACGCGAGCAAGTTGCGAGCACCCGAGATTATAATCGGATTTTAATAGAAAATACACTGCATCTATTTTGAGATACTGTCGATACAGACAGTTTCTTTTTGCTATCATATTTAAAATAAAGGAGATAGATAAAATATCCCACACACACACACACACACACACACACACACTACACACACACACACACACACACACACAGCAGAAGTGTCCAAAATATATTGTAGGGATCGATATTATATTGCAGTAGGGCCCTAAAAATGTATTTCAAATATTTCTGCTGTATTGGATAGACATTATAAGATCGAGAAAAAAAGATAATTAAAGATACAAAATATCTCTGCCTGTTAAAAAAATCGATAGAAAAAACGATAATAGGAACCGATAGGAGCTGCCAAAAATTTTATCATGTTCTATCGTATGTTATCGTTCTAATTTTTCTGTTCGAAAAAATATTGTTTCCTATCATTTTCTATCATTATCTGATAAAATTAGCGATTTTAATCGTTGAAATGTCGATAAATTTCTATAGTAAATTATTTTATACTGTTTTAATAAAATTTATTATTATGAATAAATGATTAAAACATATCGTAATGAACTGTTCATTATTATAACATGATAATTTTTTACGCCTTATAACTATACGATTAAAAATAATTATATCGTTTTCTATTAATTTTTTTTACAGAGATTTGAAAGAAATTTTATGAATAAATATGTATACGTTCTTTATTTTTACTTTAGCGAGAGAGGAATAAAAGAAACAAATTAGGTGCGCAATGCATTTAATTGCGCATGCGCTTTAATCAACTGTTAATATAACCTATCTTCTTCGGATTGGAAGTGTTAGAACTTGGAAAATCACAGGGATTGTACGACCGGATGCTCACATCATATTTTCATATAAAATCACACAATTTTAACGTAAGCAGCATTTGGAAAAAGGTAAATTTTATAAATATTTAATTAATAATCTGTAATTTCGTAAACATACTATCATCTAAACTGCGTGAAGAAATTTATTGCAAAAAATTAGGTTAAGTCAGATGTTTCATGTAAAATTGGAGTAAAATGTGCATATTTCTTTTTATGTCTTATTTGTCATAAAGAAACCGCATGACAAACTATTGGAATGTGTGTGTGTGTGTGTGTATATATATGTATATATATTATATGTATACTTTGTTCATAAATATCTATCAATATATATATGTATACATATATGTATTTATTTATTTATTATATAATATTAATTATTACATTATATATCTCTATTATATATTTATTGCACATGACAGGAAACAATAGCTATGCATGAGTTTAATTTGATATTAAATTTACATTAACATCCAATAAGATTTTTTATTATTATTTACGATAATAATAAGTCAAATTTAAGATTCGAATATAAACATAGATATATATACATTCTTTTGATATGTATTTCACTTTCTTTCCAGAATCCATGTCTTGGATCATAAACTCTTTTCGCGTTGTCGCAAGCACATGGACGCCACAGATGACACCGGTACGGTTTCGCTATCACGCGGACAAGATAGCGAAAGGCCCCTTGATACGGCGATACGGATACGAGGATCCTATAGACATGAGGGGTCTTCTACCACGCATAGACAATGCTAAACGACTCCCGATGCCCATCTATCGACCGAAGGACGCTTGGTCCAAGAAGAAGGCACTGTTTGGCCAGAACGACTACATCGACATATTGGGCTCGGATAAATTACACCCCACGAGAATTCTCTACAACGTACCCTCGTGGTTGAGAGGCGTCAGCGGCAACGAATTCCAGGTCTTACTGAGAAAGAAAAAAATGTGGTCGAAGGGTATATTTCCAATCGCGAGGCCCACCAAGTGGAGAGACTTGCACAAGAGAATACGACATCTCTATAAGTACTTGAACCGTAAAACTAAAACTGCGTAAGTAGGTCGAACTAAGTTTACGTCTTGGCCGAAATTTGTTGTACAAATACACGTATTTTAATTTGATACACAAATACAACCGCTGTGTTTTCCCTTTAATATAGTTTCTGTGAATATTCTATCGGGTCCTTAAAATTTCTTATTTTAGGTTTTTAGGACGCAGTTATTGCGTATAACGATATTAGTTAAGTTATTAGATTTACTTACTCTGCTTACAATAATTATAAAAAATATAAAATAATGAATTTATTTATTGACAAATAATATTATCCATCGGATATACGATTATTTCACAACACTGAAGAACGCAAAATACTTTTCTCGCTGAAACGCGGACTTTTCATTTCGTAGAAAGATAAGAGGGATACATGTGTATCACGGTCACCGTACCGTGTTATATACATAGTCACAATTGGTATGTTAACGTCTAACGATTCAATGTATATTGCGAAACAGAAACGCGTCTGATGTAGTCTTCCCGATTAACTATTGTCAGTTGTAAATTGAGTATTGTCCATTCCCTTAAAAAATAGTCACAATTAACCAATATTATCACGACCGCTAAGCTTTGACAATAGCTGATTAAAAAAACCTGTTGCTTATTACGCGTTCTTTTTTTTGTGGCACCTTGACAGCGGCGTTGAAAATTCGTATTCAGCACATTATCTTTTTTTTTCTTGTAAGTTATATTATAAATTCCTTGCTAGAAGTTCGTCCTGGTAATTAATTACACGATTATATTCACACTTTTCCATTGCAGATACTTTGCATTAAAAAAAAAATAATACTATCTTAAAAGCCTTAAGAGGCACACTTTTATACAGAAATTAGTACACATATTTTGCCACCTGAAGGTATTCCTTCCTTTTAAGTTTCATGTAGTTTAAGTGTGTGTACGTAAATTAATGGCAGTTACTCAAAACTGGCAAACTCTTGCTTGGAGGAACGGTTATCGAACTATCTAACAGCATAAGGAAACAAAGGTAAAAGTAAAAGGAGAGAAAGAACGTCGGTTCATAAATGATTTTGCAAGAAGGACAACAGGGTCGTCTCGTAATGCTTGCTGGCATCTAGGCTCCTCAGACTGTGCCTCTCGTGAGGATAAACCTGCAGCTGATACGGTTTGCCGATCTTCACAAGGGCATTAATCAGCTGGCTAGTGTGGTAGAAATGTACATTCTCGTCTATGAGACCGTGAATAATCAACAAACGATTCTCCTCGTCGGGAAACTTGTTCACATAAGTCAGGACCGATCCGGCCATATAACCGTGAGGATTGCTCTGCGGCAGGTCCATGTAACGCTCGGTGTATCCGGTGTCGTAAAAGTTCCACGAGGTAACCGGAGCACCAGCAATGGCCAGCTGCGAAAATCGCGACGAGGACATTTTTTTTTTTAATAATTTTTAAAAGAATTTTAAGAAAATGTAATGCGCAGTAAAAAAAAGCATTAATTCGCGCGCACCTTGAACACGTCGGGATACTGTATCAAACCCATTAGACTTAAGTATCCGCCGTAAGACCAGCCGTGAAGAGCCACTCGATTTAGATCTATGTATCCGGTAGTCTCCGCAAGCCATCTCAACACTTCGACCTGATCGTTGAGCTCCACCGTTCCCATCCTACGTCGCAGGTGGCTCTCGAATACTAGACCTCTATGCTGCGATCCGCGGGAGTCTATTAAAACTACGCAATAGCCTTGAGCAGCTAACATGTGCATCCGTAAATGTCTTAAACCCTGCCGAGGATCAAATAATTAATGAGGTTACACTTCATGTGTGACACATGCGTCCGTATCGTTTTCAAGAGGCATACTACCTACTTTAAATGTGTTAGATACAAGTTGCACTTCTGGTCCTCCGTAAACGTTCAATATCGTGGGATACTTGACTCCAGGTTGGAAATTATGAGGCTTAAATATCATCGAGTAGACCGTGTCCCCCGACTTGATTTTATGCGTAAATACCTCCGGCGCGAACAGCTCGGATTCGGGCGCCGACGGCTCTAGGAGATAGCCTACGGGTGTGAGCGATATGCTCTCCACTGTCCAATCGGTTTGTGATATTTTAAAGACCTGCAAAAAAATTGACGAAACAAGTTACTGATCGCGTAAAACTGAATATCATTATATTGAATATGTATTAGGTGCGTAAAGGCCATCGCACGTACAAAAAGTTCAATCGTAAGCCATAAAGTCGTAAGCATATTGACCAATAGCAGTCGAACATTCTAAAACGTAAGGCCGCAATTTTGATCGTGATTGATCAATTTGTTTACAGCCTCATGATTACGAATAACATTTTTGTATGCGTGATGGCCTTAAAGCATTCTGCGAGAAACGTACTTGACAAGTAGGCAGCGTTTTAATGGAACTATAAACAGTGACCAACATTGTGCACTCTTTGTTAAAATATATACTGTTGTAACTGTAACCAGGCCGCGTCAGCAGCCGTATCTCTAACGGCCGTCGCAGCGAAACCGCGTAAACGTGCTGCTCCAGCGGCCCTTCCCGTAACGCGCAGAAATAGACGATGGAGTTGACTTCGTCGACCCATATTTTCTTCCCTAGCACTTCCCAATCGCCCTGCGTCAGGGCGATCTTGGAAGTGATACGTGGTCGGAGAAATATACTGTCCATTCTATCCAGAGGCTCCTCCACTCCGTTACTCAATCCTGTGTTTAAAACGTATGTAAAAAAAAAGAAGAAGAACGCATCGAGCAACTACCATTGAAATAGATATGGTGATCTTATCGTAAACCTGCTATACTGGATGTTATGAGATACAAGTGTCGGAACTCAGATTCCTCGCTCCCCCAGATAAATTTGACCTCGTTCGCGTCGTCGGACTTCAAGAAGTACAACAGATCGTTCACGTTGATCCAAATCGGGCTCTGCTCGGAGTATACCACTTGAACGCTCGCTGACGTGGGCGTGAAATGGTTTTCCGTGTTGTACGTGTTCGGCGGTGGCTCGCAAAAGTTGTCTATCGACAGCAGGACCAACTCGAGTTTCTGCTGCTTTCTGTCCAGCAGTTGCACCCAGACGCTACATTAAAAAAAAAAGCAACGGTATCAATGCAAGATCTCGCGTATCGTTTGTCCTTCGCCCTCGATACTTACTATTGAGCATCCGGAGTCCATCCGACTCTCACCATGTATTCCATCCACGGGAACATGATGTGAAGAGGATACTGGAGCTCCAATATCTCGATATCGACGATATGTAACGACTCCGTCAGACGAAACTGCACCATTTTCAAGTTACTCCTTGCGTTCGACATGCCGGCTCTAGGAAATCTGAACTCGTCCACCTCGTCGGAATTCGACGAGGGGAAGCAATAGATCTTGACGTCGCTCTCGTCCACCTCTTCGTACACTATCCTGTAGATTCCGTCGAACATGGACTTCGGCTGCCACCAGTAACCGATATACCTACGGCGAACAGAACGAATTCCTTAATTTTTCGCGCTCTTGATGTGCGAATATTCAACGCCAAGTGACTAAACCTTGTGAATTCCTCCTGCATGACGTAGGAAGGAGTACCGGCGGTGAGCGGATCGTCCACGAGACTTCTGCCTCCTTTTCTAGCGTGAGTTAATCGAACCGAGGAACCTGTGATACTGTGAGACAGGTACAGATCCCCTGAGCACGTGTGAGCGATCAAGGCGTTGTTCCAGGGACAGATCTGAGGACACAGTTTCGCCCCAGTCGTCGACATCCTGATTTCCGACGGAAATAGAGGTCCAGGCTGACGGGGGAAAAAAAAAACATAAATTTTACACTTTCTTTCAATAGTACACAATAATTAATTCGCAATACGCAGCAGGTATTACCATAAATCCAGTATCCACACATTGATAAAGGCTGCTAGCAGCTGGAAAGACTAATTTTCCACTCTCCGCGTGGATCTCGTAACTGGTTATACCCCACGTAGCGAGTCTTTTCCTTTCCCACAACAGTTGCTCCTCTTTCGACAGTCTATTCGCACTCGATACACTATAAAATCATCACATGACAGAGATTCTGGTCTCGGATAATACAAGAATGGCACGTTGAACGATTCACTCTATAGCGGTGTGTGTGTGTGTGTGTGTTTACCTCTGGAAATTCGCCTCTATGACGGGTTGCCAGTGCAATCGGTAGCCGTTGGCGTGATCCGCGTGTGCAATGTCCACGTACAGAAGGGTGGTCTCCCAGCCGTTGCTCGGCGTGCTGAGGAAATAGATTCTAGTCCTGAAAAAGGGGAAACGGTGGGATCGGTTAGTGTCTCTCGGCGCGACAACAATGGGCGCACGAGCGCGCAACGGCGTTATCCTCACCGGCCGTCCGGGAGCGAGCGGAAAGTTATGGAACTCGGCACGGATCCGGCCGACACTCCGGACAGCTTCCTCCTGAGATCGCTGACGACGGCGCGCAGCTCGGACCAGGACTTCCGCGGCACCGTGCTGTCGGGGACGGGTTGCTGCTCCCCCGCCGACTCGTTGCTCGTAAGATCCATATTCTCCATACGTTGTTGCCGGCGTGCTAACCGCGAAGTCATTCGTCCCCCTGCAGCGAGCACCACCGCGGCCGTCTCGGCGCGGTCATGTCGACGCGGACGTGTCCCTGCAGCAGGAGCGGCGTGCGCGGGTGTACGCGGGTACGACGACGACGACGACGTGCGGCTGCTCCGACGTTGAGCGGCACCTCCGGACGATTCCGTGACAGGGTCACGGCGGGTCCACGTCGCGCGCGACGATCCGCGGACGACACGGCGGCGAGACGTACTTGTGCGCGCGAGTCACCACGCACGACAGCGGAGCGGACGCAGACGTGCGACGAGTGTCGCGAAGTTGGTGGGACGGAGAGGGATATATATTTTATTTTTAGGTTAGGCACCGTCCGTCGCCACGGCCGCGCGGACAGAGGTTCACTTTCACCTTCTCCCCGGCCTCGCTGCTCGGCTTCTCGGCGGTCTCTCCCACCTCCCGGCGTCGCGCGACATTAATTTCCCGAAATCATGTACATATACTCATACAACACCACGACCGCCGTGATCACCACCACCACCACCACCGCCGCCGTCCAGCATCAGCAGCAGCAGCAGCACCACCACCGCCGTCACCGCCGTTACCGCCGGTCGCCGCCACGACTCCACCGCGACTCCACGTGTCGGGACTGCCGGGTGTTCGCCGCGAGTGCCAGAAATTCCGGCCGAGCTGTCATCCGAGTGTGTTCGCACGTGACAGCGATCACGTCTTATCGTCGTTATCGTCGTTCGCTGTCAATCGTCGTCGGGCAGATGTCCGTTAATTGGCGCGTGTCGCGCGACGCGGCGATAACCGGCGCGAGGAGGCGAAACCACGTGAAAGAGGTACGGTTACGTGCGTATTCGCGCACACGTGTGCACCGTACACCGCGTCGAGCCGCGTCGCGTCGCCGCGGTGCACCGCGACCCTCCCATCCACCCGTCACGCGGCGCGGGAAACCTCCCCAGACGGCCGCATCGTCATCTTGAGAGAGGACTTACGCTCGAATTTAATTACGCCGGACCACGTCGAACACGTGTTTTTGTTCTGATATTCGCGCCAATTGGCGGTCGAAAGCTGCACATACTTCGGTTAATTAATTGTGTATTAATTCATCGATTGCATGGTTTGTCGTTAGGGTTTCCGGGTTCGACGGCGTAAGCCGTATCGATTTGGGGTTGCACTTAATTATGTGTCGACACGCATTGGATTATATTGCTCAATTGCGTGTCAGCGTATCTTCGAAGTGCAATTAATAAACATCTGTTTTTCATGTTTAATAATAAAACGTTTGTATAAAATTTTGCAATTTTTCATTGTCCTTATTATTATGTTATGCTAATTACGCTGATTCTGCAAATGCGGACTATATAATGTGCACAATGCGCGTCGAGGGCGCTTTCGTCATTTAACTTTGGATTGTGAAAACGAAAATAACATCATCCAGGATATCTCTTTTAATCGAAATTTAATGAATTCAATTTTTTTCGGGTTACATTTAAAACTTTGCGCTTTTTAAGATAATTTAAGATATAATAATTTTACGTGGCTTTAGAAAAGTAACGGCAATCATTTTGATTAAATTCGAAGCCGACAGCTTTGTGACGTTTAATAAAATTTAAAAACAGTGGCCGCTTTCTTTCTAATTTAATGGAAGTTTGGTGGTAGTTGATGGAGCATGGTCATGAATTCGCAATGCGGAGCGTTGACGTGCTCCACTTAACTTTCGGTTATAAAAAGGAAAATAACATCTCGTTGAGGCTAGCTTTTTCCTTTTAATAGACATTTAACGAATTCTATTTTTGCAGGTGTTTAAATTTTAAACTCGAAAACGGTATACCGTTTATATTTCAAATTACGTTTTAAATTAAGTTAAATGTGTTTCCTTTTTGTCAATAAAATAAATATTCGAGAAAATAAAGATATTTACGTTTATATGCAATATTTTATCATTTATATATTATTCTTTTAATCTTTTCTATTCTCATATCTTTTTAAATATATTTCTCAATCATATTTGTTGTTAAAGAACAAGTAATTTATTGCTTTCATAACTTTCTATATTATGAGAAATAAATAAACACAAATACAAATATAGTAAAATTTTTGTCCTAATCGATTTTTCTTTTATTACAGTCTTATTTGTGTTTATTTGCTTTTCAAATAATTCTATAGAGTTATTTTACTAACAAAGCAAAGTTGCTTTTATAAAGCGACGTTTACGATAAAAATTAAGACTTAAGATTTTAGAAAACTGACTATTTACAGTTGATTATTTTTTTCATGTGAAGAGAACAATCGACTGTTAGTCAAATTTCTTAAATCTTAAGTCTTAAGTCTATTGTACACGCTTAATGCAGCAAAGTTATTTCACTCATACAACCAAAATATTCCGTTCATTCAGCAAACGTATCTTGCTATAATAGCAAAATTGATTTGCTCATACATTTAGAATGTTTCATTAATGCAGTAAACGTGTCTTGCTACAATAGCAAATTTGATTTGTTTATACAGTTCGAATAAATTGTTCATTCAACAAAATAATCTTTCAAGTACTGCAAATATATTTTGCTCGTGTAACAAAATTGTATTCCTAATGCAACAAAAAGATTTGCTAATTGAACTCAAAATTATTTGCTCTTATAACAAATTAATTTGCAGTTTTAGCAAAATTATATCCAGCAAATAGCAATTAGTATTTTTAACAAGTTTCTTTGTTATCCATATGTTAACTGTCAAAATTTGCTACAACAGCATAAAATCTGCTGTGCTAGCAAATTATTTTTCTCCGTGATAGCAATTATCTTAATTAAATTAGAATTCTGGCAGGGGTTTGCGGCGCTTAATAAAATTTCAGAACAATGGCTTTCTTTCTAATTTAATGGAACCACGTGGTGGTAGTCGGTAGAACGGCATGAATTCGCAACGTGTGTTTTAAGAGAGAGGGGAGAAAAAAATTTCTAAGGACAGCAAACATACGTGCCCGTCGCAGTCACGTTTCCCGTTGTTCTTACATATTTTAATAGCTCTTTTCTCCGTAGCGACGTCCGTTTTTGTCCTTGCGCGTCCCTGAATAATTTTCCTCGCCGCTGCCGTCGTCGTCATCATTAGCAGACTCTCTCTCTCTCTCTCTCAATTACGTACAAAATCCAATTGATAATAAGCGCACGTTAATTCTATGCGTCTCAAAATGGGAGAATTTTCTCTCTCAAGCGAGAGGAAACGCGATCGATTCTCCGCATAATCGGCCGAAGAAACGGACGCTTTGACGATCGTAGTGTGCAGGTTCATCCCCAATAATATTCCCGAGAGAAAATTCTCGTGACTTTTTTTTATATAAATCTATGCGAGGTATTCGGGTCGCTATTTATGGGCTGTACTTCGATTCGAATGAATACCTGCGAGTGGATCAATAAACGACGAAATGCCCGAAATGCTCGCAATGTACGCGCATGTTGATTTTTTTCGATTTAGAATTACTGCCGGACATCTATAATACGTTTTGTTCATGGACGCACAAGTCGCGATAACATAATCCAACAAAAATTAATTACTTTGTCGAATCCCACTAAAAAAAAAGAATAATTATTTCCCATACTTTTTCTTCTTTTAAACACATTTTTTTATCTCCACAATATTTTATCACGTCAAAATTTTGAGGTCAAAGTTATAAAAAAATTTTAGTATAGGTATAATAACTTTAGTATATAATAAAAACTACTATATTGTAGCTATGACAAATAGCGCGTTTGGAAATGTCTACAATCCGTTCAGAATTACTTAAAAGTATTTTATGTACAATATCACGTCAGAATTTTAAGATTAAAGTTATAAAAAAATTGTTTTAGTACAAAAAACTACTTTAATATGCTGTAGTTGACATTTAGCATGTTGGAAATGCTTACAATCCGCTCAGAATTACTTAAAGCATTTTATACTTTGTTGTTATAAGGTCAAAATTATTTAAAAAAAAATTACTTTAGTAAGTTTTAGTAAGCATAGTAAAAAGTTTTACTATGCTGTAGCTGTGTAGCTACATATACATATAGCTACACAGCATGTTGAAAATGTTTACAATCCATTCAGAATTAAATACGAGTATATTGTTAGAACAATCAGTTCTAAAAGGATTATTGTGAAGATTAAATTTAATGAGATTTTAACGATTAAATATATTGAGCCTACATTGCGAAAAGTTGATAATTAAGCTATGAAGAATCATGAACAATCTATAAAACATATTTCGGTCTCTGAATAAAAAAAGTATCTTTCCGTTTGTGTTACATAAATATTTACAAACCATGATGTATCGAGTATCTCGTGGGGCTGCTGTGATACAAATCTTATGTGTCTCAATATTTAATCTCGAAATTCTGTATTTTCGTGAAATAAAAGAACATATTTTTATCATTCTCTGTTATTTAAAAAAAAGGATGTTCAAAATTTAAGTCTCCCGCGTGTTTTTGAGAAAGTATATCAGGTGCAGGCGCGCTCGTTCGTGCGCTGTTTCCTTTTTACACGTCGATAACGTCGACAAAGAAATATTAGAAAACCTAGTAAGATAAATGGTTATAAAAGGAGTGGGCGCGTACATCACATTACGGAATAGAGTTAGACAAGTGTCAGCGAGGCGGGAGTTTTATCGCGAGTGTGGAAGTTTACACGTGTATGTACATACATACAATTACATACGCTGCGAACACATGCGCGAGTTTAAAAGGAAGTATAACTTCTCGACAGAAGAGGCACGATTAACAAACGAGGAGTGCGCAATTTCTCTGACGAGGCACATATTCGGTCATATTTTGTCAGCCTTCCGATATACATTTTGGTTTGTATATATTCAATCTATCGAAATTTGTTTCCCCTGCGCCATCGCAAGCGTAACATTACAATCCAAACAGCACGTTCCAGAGTAAGCGGAGAATTGTATTTCTTCCCTTGTCACTTTACGTCACAAAATACAGGTATGACAATGCAATGGTGAAATCGTTTAGTTTTTTCCGACGTAAAGATGCCTTACACGCGATTGAACGCAAATATTTGATCGAGCGATGATTACGTAACCGTAAATTACGTTCTGCTCTCTGTAACAATATTAAAGATTCGGTCCAAGAGATTCGATATGATAATGCCAATCCATGTTGATTTAACTTTTTTTTCATTCTCTTTTGGATCATCTCCAATAAAAAAAAAAATTAAATCTATCCACGTTTTCACAATTTCTTTTTATTTATACTATCATTACAGAAAAAAAATGTTCTACGGTGCTAAGGGATTTGCGAGATATTTCCCCACCAAAAGAAGAAATCTGTTTAGGATTGAAGGTATTAAGAAACATTATGAGGTGAGCTACATATTAACGCGATGTTGATTAATTTGAGAAAGGCATTAAATATTTAATCAGATTAATATTAGAAAGATGAAGCATAAAAAAACTGCTCTCTTCTTCTTTTTATCAATATGCCATCTGCATTAACGCACATTAAAACAATATTTGCAGCGTATTATAAACAGAGTCCGAGATCTTAATGTCGTTTTCCTCACTCCAAGTCGGTGTAGCAATATAACGTAGTATATAATTTTATATGTTATCAAGCTATTTTAACAGATAAACGGCATTGCTAATTCTTGTGACATTGTTGCGGCACAGCTTGGAATGGGGAAAACAGCACCGAGATCCGGACTTTGATTATAAATATTAAGAACATACTGATAAATAATTATATTTTATAAAAAAGCAAAAAAAATATTCACAAACTATATGTCCTTTTATTTTAATTCTCTCTTCAAAATGTTTAGATATTAATTGATACTTTGACTGCCAGCTGATTTTCGGTATTGAGCTTAATAAATCTATAGTACATTATTTTAATACTTTATTATTTTTTTCATGTTTTAATATAATTTATATTGTTTCTTTAAATAAATTATGTTTTAAATACTTAGCAAAATAATTTTTAATTGAATAAATAAAACCGTTAGTAACAAATGAATAATGGGGCTTTTACGCATTACCTAAATATTAATGAAATGGCAGTCAATAAAGTAAAAAGATAAAGTAATAGGACTCTTGAAATTGAAAATAAAATTGACAATTAAAGTCGGCTAATAAGAGCAGCACGATACTTACAATTATACAAATATAATATCTGACTTAAGCAAAAATTAAGTTAAATCGCGAAAAATCGGATGTTTCAGGAGGAATCAAACAGTAAAATTACAACAGAGTAAAAGTTCTTGGAAGTCAGAAATAAAATGAGAGCGCGATGTTAAGAATAAAAGTGATGTATTGTTGTAATTTTACTTTGTTGTAATTTTGGTTCCTCCAATATGGCTACGGAATTTTATTTTATTACTGAAGTATTTTGTGCTCTAATTCTTGGCCATTTTGGATTTTCCGTTTGCTTTGTTTTTCAATTTCCTCACTTAATTTACCTATCATATCGAAAGATTAAAAATGGCATTTGATTTACGACCTTACCTGGACGAATGCGAAATTGAGAGAAATTTCGCTGAAGATGGTTCAAAATTTATAGCCAAAACATTCAATTTTATGTAATATATTTATATATCATTGTGCGAGTCAAATATTACAATCGCGCTTTTATTACTCTTATCCGATTTTAAATATCAATTTTATTTTCATATATATCAATTACATTGGAACCATTAAAATTTTTAATATATAAATCTCACGTTTAATATCTTGTTCATGTTATCGATTCCATATTGTTAATCGCATGCATTTGCGCGGCAAAAATTAATGAGGTATTCACTTACCTTGAACTTTATTCTTTAGTTGGAGATAGTTGGATTTATCAGGATTTCTTCTCGACGGAATTTAATCGCAAATACGTAATGTACATATATATTGTCCGCTCGCAAAACTGTTTTCCCTGTGTTAAACTTTTATCTCGAAGGCTTTACTATCCCGCGCCTAGCGGGATCGAAATGTCTCGTGGACGGCCTACACGTAGGCACAGTTTTCCGACGGGCCTGCGCTATCAACCCCCCATCCCAGCCACCCTCGGCGCAACCGCTCGTCCGAGATGGTCTGCACGAGACTCATATATTTCCTGAGATACGTTCCGGCGGTGCGAAGCACCGTCCAGAATTCTCACGGGAAAGGCCGAATCCCTTTTTCCCGTGTTCCTTAAGTATTAACGCGGAGAATTTCGTACGTGGTCTCATAGTAAAATTTTCACGAAATAATTCGATACAGTAACTAACGCTCCCATTTCCACTTCTGTACAATGGCTGAGCAAAAATAGTTCTGGATCTCCCGATCAAGAGTGACAATAAAACTTTCTTTCTAAAAAAAAAAGAGACACGAGGAGATATTTTTATTTGATAATTTTCGGAGGGTGAGACCATATATAGCTGTGCCACGTGGGGAAAGATGTGGAATCGGAGAGAGTACTCGGTACTCCTCCGGTCGAGCTATCAAATACTTAACGTCCGCATTTCGTATCTCGCGGAGAGAACCTTTTTCTATACATCACTCTACACATTTCGCTCTCTAATATGCGTTTGACAGCCATTATTCTTTCCCAGAGATGTTTATATAATCCGATTATATAATCATTCAAAATCAACGAATTCGAACGGAAAAAAAAATATCGAGAGTCAACTGATTTATATAATGATAAAAAATAAAAAAATAGTTATATTTCCTGCTGCTGCGCGAGTCTGCGTGTTTTATCTCCCTATCGCAAGGTCGAGGAATGCCCGACGTCTGCGGCTCGGTATCACCGGCGCGGGCGCGGCGTGGTCTACCCAGAGAGTCAGGTGTCTCGTAAGGTAGTTGGCATGCAGAGTCGCGGCATACTTTCGTCCTTTTTTTACTCTCGCTTCAACTTTTTCCTACCAAAGTCTCACCCTCTTTCCCCACCACCACCCACCATCGCTTTCTTCTTCTCTTCGCTCGAGCACCCTGTCCGAGTTCACTACATAATGCAGCCGGCTATATTGAATATTTCGTCGTGGTAAAATGATAAAGAAATCCTCGGCAAGCTTCTCGGACTTATGTGGATATAGAGCCGTCGCCTTCAGAAACGGGGTGGAGCACGTTCTCGCGAGCATCAACAAATAACCGTCGTGACGTTGTTCATTAATTCCGGGAAACCTGGGAAGAGAATTCTAATCGGTTTAAGACCGAGCAGATCGATAAGACTCTGCTTCAATCGATCTTCGTACATCGTGAACATTTAAAAAAATGATCAAATCAATTTTCGCATATTAATCTTTTAAATATAAGGTATAAAATATAGGTATTTCAAACCAGAATATTTTTAACCGTTTACTGTGCATGGGGGACATTAAAAAAATATTAAAAGATACTAAAAGAAATGATAAAGAAATTAATTTTTTATTATCCAAATATAAAAATTATTAGAATAATAAATCAGGTCAATTTACCCGAATTCGCATTCACAAAATTTTCAACTTGTAGACATTTCCCGAAATGATTTTGTTTAACACGCAGTTTTGAAAATTACGTTTTGACAATTGACAATTACGTTCTTCTTTCAAAAATTTAATATTACCAATCGATTAATCAGAAAATTTTACATTGGAAAACATACGTTGTACATGTTTAACATGTTCTTTACGGATGTTTAAAAGAGACCCCTTTACAGGTTAAACGAGCAAAATTTGCCACTCACAAATTTAAAATAAGATTTTATTCATAAAAATTAATCACATTAATCTTAGAAATCTTGATAAAAAGTTTCCAACTTAATTTAATCAATCTTTGGTCTGCATATATAATTCATATATTACAGAAATTATTTTCTCTGTTGTTAACGCGATGCGTACGACACAATTTTTATGCAGAGTATTTTTTTTTTATATAAGGACTGCTCCCGTTGTGGGCTTGCTACGGTATTTGCAACCATGCGTTGATAAATTTCATCCATAAATGTATAGATAATATTCTCTGCATATAGGTAACGTTTCTCATGCCTTCTAAGACCTAACGCGAGTAGAATAATAGCGGAGGGAATTCCCCCTGGAAACCTTTACGATCGCTGCTACAGGGCTCTTCACGTAGCACGGCCATCTTTCTCGTTACTATCGCAATGTATATTATTCCATAAAATGTATTATTTTTAGCTTCTAAATCTCGTGTATATATAGATTTTTTCTATATACTAAGTAAATCTAATGTATATATTATATTATCATATATTGAATGCATTAAATTTTGAGAAATCTCTTAAATTTTTTTATATAAAATTTTTTTTGTTACCGATATGTTTTGTCGATCATTGCCGTTACTAAAATAATCTTAAATATAAAGAATAAATAAAAAATTTAAAATTCATAATATATTACTTTGGAAATATATACGAGACTACTTGGAACGTGTCTCATTACTTTAATCACCCAGCTACTAGCCAGGCGACAATGTCAGCCTGTTCAAAGAGAATGTATTACGCGGTAAGCTTAAAACGATCTGAACGATGCTGTAGAGAGGACGACATTTTCTTCAGCACGACATTTAAGGCATCCTTGCTCCCAGCAGTATCTAGTCTAGGAACAGGCGAACTATGGAGCCATTTCAAAATTGAAGGGCTGAATGTACACCCGGGGACAGATATAGGACACTCGTGCAACAAAATCATGGGTATAAATTTATTCCATCTTTTCTTGCTGTACGCCGCCAATACGTAATCGTTTCTTTGTGAAAAATCGCGTGGCGTGGGAAGGGGGAGGGAGGGGGGAAGGAAAGAAAGACGAACAATTGAACACGGGACTTCTCGATTTTCCTTTTAAAAAAACGAATAGGGGAGAGGGCGGGCGGCGGGAGCAGCACACAAAAAGGTTACGGAATTTCCGGAACAGCTTTCGGTACAGAACGAGGTAGGGGATGCACTTCAGTTGACGCGCGGCGTACGTAACGCGTGCCCCTGGGGGGTCGCAATATCGATCTCCCCTCTTTCCCTCGCATCTCCCACGCGTATTACCTCCTCCACGTCTGTTCGTTCTGCAGCATATCAACAGCGGACAGCTCGAATTGTACAAACCTAATGGAATATATGCCTTCCGAGAAGCCTGTCGTCCTTCCTGTGTGAATTTATTCGGCTCCTGGAAGCTTCCGGAGATCTGCTTTCGTCGACGATGAAATATTGAAGAAGAAGTCAAATCGAAAGTCAAAAGAGGAAAGTTTTCTTGCCGGGCGTGGGTTTCATCATTCATTTTTAATCCATTTCCATTCTCGCTTTCGATAAATAAAACGGGAACTAGAGGACGGTGACAGAGGAGAATTAGTGATCAAGGTGCTTCGGCTGGAGCGCATCTGGCTCGGCGTTTCGAATTTTCGATTCATCTTTTTCAATT